ACAAAGAGGCAAACAAATGTGCTCGCCTCCCAGTCCGCCCAGCTCAAACGGAACAGAGCGAAGACACACACAACAATAGAGAGATAAGTGACGGCAATACCGGGCCTAACTGCCTCGAATGGAACACTTTACATGAAAACAGGCCTGTGACCAAGATTTAATCTTTGCCGTTGTCGTTTTGTTTTGGCACCTTCTTCGACAAAAGCGCCCGTGTGTGACAAGCCCCGGCTGACATTCTCCAGCTAGGAATCCGACAGCCTACATGCCATCCTGAGAAAGTCGAGGCATTCCTTCTTTTTTTTTCATCCCAAAACAACCAGGCTCCCTCCTCCTCTTTCTGCTTCTCCTCAAACCCGAGCATCGTCTTATTTTGATGAGATAGCAACTGGGCTGCGGAGCCAGTTTGACTCGCTCTGGGTTTCTAATCACTGGGGAAGCAGACCAACCCCCCCCTTTCTCTCTCTGCCCTCCTCCCTGGTTCTGTTTGCTGAGCAGGTAGATGGAAGTCTACGCCAGCGCCAGGCTTTTCTGCTCTTAATCGATGTAGATCTGATAAAGATCCCGGCTTTCCGAATGCGGAGCCTGAGGAAAATCTGATAAGTAAATTGTTCCTCTGTACATATAGCCAGTGAGATGCTGAGGAACCAGACGAGTGCGGCTGTGCACGCGTATGCACACTGCCCTGCAAAAACAAAGAACAGACACACACACTTGTCTCGCAGTAAAGTGACTGTGCTCCGGACATGCCCAATTTGTTTCCTTTCATCCAGGACTAATGTCTCGTTCTACCCAGGGGCTAAGTGCACCATTTGAAGCCCCCTCTAGGACAGACGGCTGCAACATGCAGTTATTTATTTGTTTTTTTTTGTTTCATGTTTTGGGAAATCGTGTTATCGCTTCAGCTGCGACAGCGCGCATGCAGGCCCTCACTCAAATTAACAAGAGGCAATAATGTGCTGGTAATTTCTAAAAACATTATTTAAATGTCAGGCTGTAATGACAAAAAAATCACTAATAGTTCAATGTAAATGTCAAATTCAAATTATTCAATTACATCGGCGAGTGCAGGGCAGGTGATAATTTGTCCACAGCTCGGAATACCAATCTCGCTCTCAACGGAGCCCACTCTGTGTGCCCTGGCGTAAGATAGACCTCGGTAATTTCCTGCTCCGAGGGGTGCTTTCATAGCCATTATTATAACTCTATTCCACAAGAAATATCTGCCATACTGGAGAGATATTAGAATCATATTTTCTGTACTTTCACCCCAACCTCGCCCTCAGTGTCTGATTGCTTGTGAGAATTGTAAAAAACAAATGGCATGGATTTGAAGAGAGAGGCCTGTTATTCCTTGTTGTGATTTGTGCTTTTGATACTGAGCTTCTTACTGCTCGGTCAATAAAACATAACAGTTGCAGTAGACTGTGGAGGTAATAGGCTCAGCTCATCAACTGTCATTCATGCACCAGCCTGAGGACCCATTTTAAAAATGGCTGCACGAAAGGATTTTTAAAGGATATCAGCCGCTCCACACGATCCGTTCTTTTAAGATTAGGTGTCGGAGGAATGGTGCTGGCTATTTTCTCTCGTTCTTTCTCTTCAAAGTCAACCACGTCCAGGCTCTGTAATGGATGAGACACCTTGTTGTTCATGCAAACAGATGATGTCATTCTGAGTCATGGGGTACAAGTTGTGATTGGACGTCCGCCACAGATCCTCACATTTTACTGCCTCCCTCAGACAGCTGGCATTTGCTCTACAGGGAGCCAATGGGGCAACAAACAATTAGCCTTTTCTTCACAAAACTCCAGGGAGAGGCTATAGAATAATCATAAGAGCTATTTACCAAACAGCCAATATTCTTTGTGATTATACCAACAAAAAACATCTGATGTTCTTGCCTAACGTCAATAAAAGACAAATGTATATTTATATATGAAAAAATACTTTCCTCCTCTCTGAATTTTTCTCCTTCCTTATTTGGCACATGTCCCTAAAATGAAATTGCTTCCTATTCTTGTTGGCATCTTTCCTTTGGCTAGAACCAGGGAGCTGTGGACCTGTGGATCTGTGATGCTCCACAAAGATGGAGTGAGGCGAGTGTGACATTCTCCTTGAATGCCTCCCCAGAAATGAGACTTCCCTCCCAGCCGCTCATGCACGTCTGCTTGAGATTCACACTTTGGTGCATTTGTCACTTTGAGAGCATCTGGTTTAATTTGATTTCTGTGCCTAGCCACCCTGCAATTCTCCGGGCTTTTAGTGTAACCGTTGCCTACTGAGTGCGGCCAACAGATAGTTCCGCAAATAAAGGGCATTTTAAACTTCTATTTTCTGGATGACTCTTCCCAACATTGCAACCGAGGTGAAAAAAGGCCTGTTCTCCTTCAATCCTTCCCAGTTCTGCATCAGAATCTCTTTCTTTGCCTTGATTTAATTGGAATAAAATGGAAGATGACTTTGAGAATTATTACATTTATCCACATAGTTTGCAAGAACAGTGGAGCTGGGCTGATTATTTTCTGTTAACACTCAATCTGAATATTACACCCAGCTAATCATACCAACATTTCAGAGAGAGCTTTTGCGGGGCCCAAACTCTGAAATGAAATAGTTCCCCTGCTTACAGGCAACATTTACATCACTGCGCGGTCCTAGTTACGTTACACTTTACTCTGGTGGCAACACACTCCCTACATGGCTCTAGCAGCACAAAACGTTACCAAAGCTAACTCCAACTCGAGCGGACGCAACAACCAAATGCCTAAAGCTTAACGACTGAAAGTGTGGCACATGAGAGGATTCTGACACCGGGACATGCAGCAAATGTTTTAAAAACGATTCCGTGTGAAGGGAGGAATACGACAAACGTAATTAAGCATCTGAAAACATTTAAAAGCAGATGAATGCTTTGTGTCTGATTGCATGACGTCATGCTGAACACATCAGATGGGAACTGAAATCCGGTGGCGATCGAACACTGCTGTTCACGGCCGTTAGACTTTTAGACTTTAACCTACTGGGCCGGATTACATCACAGATTTCAGTGCCTAAGCTCCACAGGTGGCAACACACTGTTCTGCACTTATTTATGTTTGTTAAGCATTCTTTAAACTGTTTACAGCCAAATTCAACGTCCAATTTGCAATGAAAAAGCTCTTCTTATCGTCGACTGGTTCTGGCACCGTCTAGTCACTGGAATCATTTATCGATTTTGCCCCAGTTTTGGAAAAATCCAAATGACATTGAATCCTAATGACCTCTGGCCAGTCAGATAACAATATATGAACTATTGTTTAAACATTTGTAAAGCTGAATGACGGAGGAGGATGTTGGTGCTTTGTTGCAGTCTGCAAAGATGTATACGAGCAAATCCTTCTTAAAGAGAACCTCATTTTTATTTGTTCCCTTTAGTTAGAGATGATTTTCCATTTTCCACTCACACGTTATCATTTTTAGATCTTCGTATATATGCTTCACCAATTGTACGCCCCGGGTTGCTAACCCTCCCCCCCCATCCGTCTTCAACACCCCTTTCCTCTGCCTCTTTCAGTCCCTTATAATTCTATTTCATCTGCGTTATGAAAGCGCAGAACGATCACATCTGTTGTCACTCCTCGTGAAATCTGATAGTGTTCCGTCTTTCATTCAACGAGCAGGTGCCTTTTTTTTATCTCTCTCACTGTTTCCCTCGCATTATCCTTCCTAACTCGTACAAGCTTCTGTCATGTCACATGTCATGACCCAATTTCCTGAAAACTATTCCTTTTTGTCTTGCAGGATTTCTGAAGCACCACACTGAATATCGTCTTATATTCATGTCAGAGACAAATGAAAGGATTGCTGAATATTTGTGCCCTTTACACTTCAGTGAGTGTCCGCTGGACATATAAGGAATATAGGGGCTTCACTTCAGCGGTGGGCGATGGTGTGGTTTGCAGATTTGTGGCTAGTTTGTCATGTCCTTTGCAACGTCTGTAGAAATGAGCAACACACCGGAGCTTCAGGCCAGTGCTCCCCTCCCCATGCACCTCCAGAATGTTAAACATGGCCGCCGCGGCTGCCTCTGAATTGCTGGACTGTGTCTCCTGGGGAACGGGGAAATTGAGCCCTGGCTCTTCCTAATAGGTGGTAAAGTGTTAAGTTCCAGAGAAATGGACTGCGAATTTAACCTGGAATGGAAATTGATCCCATTACCTTGTGCTTGGGCTGTTTTCCACCCGTAGGAAAGGAGAGGGAGAGAGAGCATGAGGGGAAAATAGACGGTGGGGGGGAAAGCAGACAGAGGACAAAGAGGGAGATAGAGCGGGAAATAGAAATGGGGGAGCCACAGAAAAAGAGGTGGACAGAGAGAGAGGAAATAGAGAACGGAGATGGAAGGATGGGAGGAGATAGAAGGAAAAAATGGAGAAGGTAGAGGAGAAAAGGCGAGGAGACACAGTGTATGTGATTAGAGGTGATAGCATGGCAGCGGGGGTTGTGTCCTGCCTGGATTGACAGGCCGGCTGAGTCTGTATCAGTGTGGCACTAATAGCTGAGCGCCACTGGGCGAGATGGAAAAGAGAAGAGAGGACATGGAAGAAGGAGCAGAGGAAAGACACACTCTGAAGGGATGATGCACCTCCTGCTGAGGGTGTCCACCAACAGACCTGTGGTGTGTTGGTGTGTGAAGCTGCTGTGACACAGAGTTAGCGACGGTGGCGGCATGTGGGAATGTTCAGTATCAGGCTGTGGCTTTGAAATTTAAAATCATTTTCTGGAAATAGCAGGTCCAAACACAGGAAATAGTTTTTCTATATGAATAAAATTATTGAGTGGGTCTCAAGTGTTAAGGAAAATCTAGTGGTACACTTTTTACCACCTTCTCTGTGCCCTGGCATAGACCTCATTCATTTCCTTGATTTTATTGAAATTATCTTGTGCTACCTGCCTTTTCACGCGGCCTAATTGCTTTTTTTGATGTATGCTCACGCTCCTCTCTCCTCTGTCCATCCCGCCAGAGCCCATGCACGGCCCACGAAAGCTGGAGGTGGTGGACATCCAGTCCAAGCAGGTGACCGTGCGCTGGGAGCCTCTGGGCTACAATGTGACCCGTTGCCACAGCTACAACCTGACGGTCCAGTACCGCTCCAGGGTGGCTGGCAAGGAGGAGACCAGGGAGGAGGTGTGTTACGACACGCAGAGCCGAGATCCACAGCACACCATCCACAACCTGACGCCCTTCACCAACCTCAGTGTCAAGCTGGTGCTCCGCAACCCAGAGGGGGTCAAGGAGAGCACGGAGCTTGAGGTTCAGACGGATGAGGATGGTGAGTGTGATGGTGGTTTACTTTGTGGAAATATAAGTCAAGGTATATGTACACAAACAATCAATTACATCTTCAAGAGTATGGAGAAAAAATAAATACAATAAGAAGTCAAACATAACCTGACATTTTTCTTAACAATAATAACATACACACTTTATGTGTTTATTCATTTGTGTATTAATATTAATTCATTACTGTAAGATTGTGTTAATTACTGTCAAAACACCAAGATGGTGTCATAGTAAGTAATATCATGATCTTAGAAATATGCATCAAGGATCTATAATAATGTAGTTTTGCTGATTTCAAACCATCACACTCAAATGAGACATTATTTAAAAATCTTCCTTTTTAATTTTACCTGTTTTTACCTGTTTAGAGGAGAAACAAGCAAAATAACTGTTATACTCACCAACAGTGGCAAAACTAATTTATTCATATATTTATTATTAAAATATCAAAATACAGACACGTTGGGGATGTTTTTTCAGGAGAGCACAGAAGTCGGGCAGCGCGGCTCTGTGTTGTAGAGGTGTTTCACCTCCTCAAAGATGAAAGATCCTGTGTGTTGCCTCAGCAGACACAGGAAATGAACTCTACAGAAGTCTCAAGGAACCCCCGGCCGCCAGATAACAAACGGGCTCATGCAGCTGACGAAAAGAGAGTCTTGTCATGTCTGGCTCAGATACCTCTGGTTGAAAACTTGAAAGTGGCAACTGTTTCTCACTCTCTGACTGCTGTGTATTTCTGCGTGTTTGTCTGCAGATCTGTGTGTTTAGGCTCCCGTGGGAAAAAGTGTTCAGACACGGTGAAGCTGTAGTTGCATTCATGAAGATAAAGAAAAAAAAATAGACATCTCCGATCATTCTGTTTCAGTTACAGAATGAAAGCAATTCATATGAGGGGCTGGAGGACCACATTTCTGTATCTCGGCACATGTAAACATTGTGGAAAGATTAAAATTCCAACTATTCCCTTGGTGTGAGTCGTTCATAGTTGTCACAGATTGTGGTTTATGTGAGAAGTTTTCAGGTTTGCTGAAAGAAACATGTTTTATAATGTGTTCTCAGTAACAGTGGCTTTAAATAAAGTCACAGATTCTTATTAAGATGTGTCCAATGTTGGCTCATGACTATGTGTCCTTGAAAAGCAAACGTATTGATCGTGTTATGCACAGCAGCATAAGTTGGGTAAATTACAAGTAGCATTGGCTTTTATCCAACTTTGGTTTACAACATTTTCAATTGGCAAACAACAGATGGGGAGAATATCAATGCACGCCAAAGAAATCTTACTGTTCAGACTTCTTCATTGTATTTCTACCTTGAAAATTACAGCATCGCCGACAGTTTTCTAGAAACAAATGTGTCTGTGACAATTTCCCACAGTGCCGGGGGCTGTTCCTCTGGACTCCATTCAGGGCAGTGCCTACGAGGAGAAGATCATCCTGAAGTGGAGGGAACCGGCGCAGACCTACGGGATCATCACTCAGTTTGAGGTACACCGGCACGCTGGTTTGCAAAATGTTCGAGATATTGATCAGTGTTTCCAGAGGTAAACAGACCGACTTCCAGCGTTAAGCTGTTTTATTCCACCATCTCGGAGGATTGTGTTGAGTCCTTTTTTTCCACGGTGATGGGCAGCATCAGTGCATAGAGCTGCCAGAGAAATGTTCAAATTGATTCTTTTTTATCATGTGAATCACTTTGTTGTGCTAAGACTCGGGATTTTTTTTTTTGTCTTTTTTTGTCTTTTTGCATCCGCCTGTTCTTAGAAGAACCAAGTGGTAAAGTGATATTATATACCGCGATTATTAATGACACCAGCTTTACTCCAGCATCCCAAGGAAATGTATTCTGTCAGATCAACACAAACAACACATGGTCAGGATCGTTTTCAGGCTTAGATTTACATCAGGGTTACAATCCTATTTTCAGACTAAAGAGAGAGAAAATCCTTCGTAGTTCTCATGTTACAGTCCTCCAGCAAAACACATCATAAAATAAATCCTCTCAAAATAAAAGTATTTCCATAATGTCGGCAGCTACCTGGGAACGTTCAAGTGTCCTCTATTTTTACATTCCATCCTTGACTTAAGCTTTCTCTCTCTCTATGTATAAGCTATATTGTGATATATATGATCGTTCAGTGATATGACTGAAATTCAAATGCTGCCATAATATTTTCAGTCATGCTGTCGGACTGTAGTGATGATGCCAGTGTCCCAGTAGGTTAGTTTTATTTAAAGTCTCCTGCATTATTTATTGTTATAACTTTCACTGATTTCCTCATTTTTCCTCCATCACCATCATCAGGTCAAACTCTTACTATCACCACTTCTCTGGTTTATGACTAAATACCTGTTCCTCCATCTCCTGATCACTGTCACACATTCTCCGGATCGCAGATGTCTTGGTTTCATTTTTGGATTGTGGGAGGAAGTAGAGAAGTGTCATCCATCTTCAGTGTTATAGTCATTGTTTGATCCTACTGTATGAACTACCACTCTTAACGTGTCCCAGCAAAGGGCCAACTACGAGCTGCCGTCACCATCTGTCCTTTGACACGTGTGTGACCTCTAAAAAAAACCCTGTAACACACCTCAAACACACATCACCATCCGGCACCAAGTAAATGTTGACTCAAGGCTCCACACTGGGAGCTGCACTGAGCCTTGAATAATAGAAACAGTCTCCACACACGATATATATACACATTGATCTTAACCAGCTTAAGGTGGAAGTAATCCTGCAGCCTTTTCCACAGATTGATTCTCCTCTGTTGATTCTCCCTCTTGTCGCCGTTTGCTCACGCTTGGTGTTTTGACTAGGTTAGAAATCATTGACAGGGCTGTTTCTCATACAGGGGGAGCTGATTGAATAGTAAAGGCTTGTTGCTCTATCTGCTGCCCTGACATCAGGTGACTGAGGTGATTGAAATATGAACGAGATATTCTTCTGGCGCCGCAGATGCATTACAATCACAGCATGAGTATGGAAACAGTGTGTGTAAAATGGTAGGTTTAGCGCGCACTCAATCACTCTTAGAGAAGCATGTTTCAGCTGTTTATCTTTTAAAAAATTCATGCTACACCTAAAAGCATTTCACAGTAAATGGTGTGGTTTGCATTGCTGCTTCGTCAAATTCACTCATATTTATGTTGAGGCACGTGTTTCACTTTGAGGAATATACCCACTGCAGGGTGTTACTAGTTTTCATTCGCGATTGTTTGTTTATGTGCAATATTTCCCCCAGAATACTAAACTGATTACCATGAAACTTGGTGAAGGGATGTGTCATGGGTGGGGGAAGAACCCAGTAAATGTTGTTGCTGATCCAGATCAGGAGGTGGATTTCTGTAACATAGTGAGAAAGGGCGTTTTCCCACAAGGTAAACTGCTCTTACTTTATGAAATAACGTGCTTATATCTATGATCAGGTGCATTTTGCTGCTGATGTGGATAATATCTGTATTTTGTGAATCAAAATAAGTGTTTTTATGGAGGTGAACTTTATTTAGTTGCTGTACGGTAACAAATATGGTGATGAAATGGCTGATGTGCTCTTCCTAGTATTTACATGCTGCAGCATTTACTCCTGTGTCTGCAAAGCCCTTGCACTATACCTACAGGTCCAGAAGACATTGTAGTATTTTTCAAAGCATGATTACAGATTTATTTCTCTAAGCACAGATTTCATTCTAGAGTAAGACAGAGTATCAATATTCACATCATCTTGTCTTAAAGGGGGAGACAGATGAGAAATAAATCTTAACGTGCCAGAAGCTTGCTCCAGGTGTCTCCCCCTCTCTCCGCTACAGTCTGGTAAAAGAAAAGCACCAAGCCGCGATGTATTCTACTGATATTCCCCCAGAAGTTACTTCTCAAAAGTCAGGACCTTGCTTTGAATTGACATTATCAAAGGACTCTGAGTGAAATGCCTGACAAGGCCTGATATCAAAGAGATTTCAGCTCCGTTCCTTTTTGACCAGGCTCTGTGAATGCCATTTAATTGACAACTTTCCAGACAGACGTGAGGCAGCAGCTTGAAAGGAATGAACAGCATTTTTTTTCATTTATTTCCTCTTCATCATCCATATTTAGTTGCAACAATTAATTCTGAAGTAGCATTTGTTGTTTATTTTTCAAAAAACAAAAGGTGCTTTTAAGTAACATTGCTGTTCTTGTGAAAAACCTGCTGCCTATTCAAATCACTTTGAATTTAGATCACTAATATTTACTGTAGTTCTGCCCAAGAAGGTTTAAACTCCTCTGCAAATAAAAGGAGTCAAATAAAAGAATCACTGAATCATCTACCAGTTATTTAGCACTATTCTTTTTATCGCAGGTAAAATTGCTGGAGTTTATTCAGTCATTTATATTTTATGAACACCTCATAAATTTGACATTACAAGAAAAATGTCAACCACTGTGATTTAAAATTAAAAAAAAGAAGCTTCATCCATCAGGTCCAGTAATGGTTACAGCCAAGTCCAAATTAATTTGCTCAAATATTCAGGATTTTTTTCCGGTCAGTTCCATTATAATTTTAAAAAGCTGTCCGTGTGCCCAGTGTTGACAAGTCATTTTTAAATTCCTCTCCCTGAAATGTTATGATATAGGATTTGGCATCACATACTCATTTCACAGACAAAGACTAAATGAGAAGCCATCGAAGCATTTCAGAACTTGATGGACACAAATTATGCACCACTCCAAACTCCCTTTGTGTTTCTTAATTGGAATCATAATGGAGGTTTCCTTTTTATGAGCAGAGGCATTTTCTTAGACTGGGACGTTGGAGTTATTCAAAATGGATATTAGCAAAAACACTCACCTTAATGCTTCCCTCCAGACCTGCCTGTGTTTATTAATGGAGAGGGAATACATTAAGAGAATTTCTGTACTCCGTGAAAACTTGGGCTTGCATCAGCTTCGATTGAAATCTGTGCACCTCAGCTTTTACAGATCAATCCTAACCCCTGCTACTCGACAGACCCACTCCACACTTCTTTTGTACCTCACTAATTCTGGTAATGTCTTGTTGACATGAACTCAGAAGCTCACACGCAAATGTGGAACTTCTTGTCTGAACGAATGACATTTCAAATATTGTTTTGCGGCATCTAGAAATAACATTTATATACCATTTGTTTCGCCAGTTACATTCAGAGGGAGTGTAACTGCTTCCAGGTCTGTGTTCTTTACGTCAAGTCGAGCCAATTTATTTATATAGCACATTAAAACGAAAAGTGCTTTACAATTGTGGCAAGTGGAAAACAACAAGTCTGGATGAAATGAGAGCTAAACCAATGTAAATGACAAATGCAGTAAATACACTGAAGATAAGGAATAAAATGACAATAACTGCATAATAGGTCTCTAATATAAAAACGTCTGATGTTAATATGACAGTGTATTAAACATCAAATTTATGTTTTGTATTAGAGCCCAACTGATTTATTGTTGCACTGAAATATTTGGTCAATGTGAGCCTTTAACAGACATCTGTATTTCTTTTATTTTAGATATGCATGAAGAAATATTTGGTCTTTGTTTTTTTTCTTTGTCATAATGGTTTGAAAGTGACATCTTAAATCCTCATCTGTTTGGCTTCACAACATGATATGCGACAATATAGGAAAACTATTAGCTCTTATGGTTGGATTATTATTTAATTGATTTATTATAAGCTGAAGAAATACATCATAAGACTGTCTCATAATCAAATCATAAAATTTTGACCTTACTAAACATAGTGCAGAAAGATGCCTCCATCATAAAAAAACGCTTTTATCATATTGAACACAATCTACACTGATCTCAGCTGCAGAGCTAAATGTGGAGAACCTGTGGCCACCATCAGAATATGCCTTTCCTTCCCCCCCCAGATCTCCTACAAGGCGGTCAGCTCCTTTGACCCCGAGCTGGACCTCTCCAACCAGAGTGGGAAGGTAGTGAAGCTCGGCAACGAGACCACCCACATGTTCACAGGCCTCTACCCGGGCTCCACGTACTCCTTCACCCTGCGCGGCAGCACAGCCAAGGGCTACGGGCCCCCGGTCATCACCCAGTTCACCACCAAGATTTCAGGTCAGTGGAGGCAACAGAGCTAGAGCGAGGACGATGTTGAACAAGTATTTAAAACGTGTGAATGGAATATGAAGTGCTTGTAGTTGAAAGTTTGATACGGCTGCTTTTTCTTTACTGATATCCTTTTTGTTTAATGCTATCAAGACGTTTAAAGACACAACAAAAAGCTCAAATATCCAGGTCCTTACATTTATGACTTCTGGTTTTAATCTCCATTAACCATGGCTGCTTGTATATAATGAAAACTGGAAGTGATTTAGATGATGACGATGAGGCAAGTTTGTGGTGATTTTTCTCACTCTCTCCAGTTTTTATCCTGATGTATGTGAAGACTGTCTTTCGGCTCCTCTCTTATTGCTCCACTTAATGATTAAATTATGCTGCTATAAAGGCAAAAAGTGTTCGGTGTAAAAGTGAGAAAACTGGGATTGCTTTTTTTTTTTTCATATTTATTGCTCAGCTGAATGACTCACAAGGCAAGAAAAACCATAAAACTTGTTGTTGACCAAGACCGAGCTGTGTTTCTTTGACAGTGCAGTGTTGTAACCCCCCCCCCTCCCCGTGTTTGGTTTTCTCCTCAGCTCCCTCCATGCCGGCGTACGATCAGGAGACGTCTCTGAACCAGACAGACAGCACAGTGACTGTACTGCTGAAACCTGCCCAGAGCAGAGGTGCACCAGTGAGGTACGCTGCCACAACAAGGATGCACATACACACAAACACACACACACACACACACACGCAAACACACACACAGTGCAGACTTAAAAACAACAAAACAATGTATTAAAACACCAAGAACCAGCATCAGCAACAAAAATTATCAAAGAGCCCGTGTTTATCAATGCCTCCCCGTCGAGGAAAGTTACCGGGGAATTCTGTCTCTTTCTGAATGAATCAGATTCTCCGAGCTTTATTTGTTTGTGGATTTTGATCCTGTGAAAAAGAAGCCGAGGCTTTGAAGATGAGAACAAAGCTCCGGTGCAGCTGAGGCCGACTTCAGGATCTCTTGCCTTTACATGTCTTTTATGTAGCGGGCCGCTCACCCCACCACAGGCTTCTGGGAGAATCCTGCCTGCTTGATGTTGCATTTATTAGTCATTATACAGCTGTTCTGTTTAAATGCCAAAAGTCATCATTTGGATTTAAATCCACGAGCAGCAGACGGGCCGGTTTGATCATCTCTGTGTTGGTCAGTATTAGGAGCTGGAAGCAGGAACAAGCTGATAAATTGGTGAAGAAACAGGATGACAGTGTTACTGGAATGTTTAATGAGTATAAAATCCTGGGAATCGGATGCTGTGGTGTTTACAGTTACCAGATCTCAGACCCCCACAGTCCCCTGAAGAAACCACAATATATTTTATTTTGATTCTGTTTTATTCTCCACAAAACTAAACACAGTCATAAATCACTATGCTCACATGTCCAATGTTAAAGAAAGACAGAAAAGATCCTGGATCCCTTTGTCCACGTCCACACCAAAATGTGATGAATTTTTTTCTTGCCCCATTGAATCAATATCTTTTGTGTAAACCTACGGACATGTGGAAAAACCTCCTTGTCTGAAGTAATGACTGGATATCTTTTAAAAGAATGCAGGAAAGGATGTAAGTGTTTAATATTGTTTTTCTAAACTAATATAAAAAAGCATTTGACAAGAAATCCCCATCAAAAACAAGTGGCAGTGGGAAGCCAGTGAGGGATCATGATCTTGTCCATAAGAGCAGCGATTCATTTGTCACCTTCTGAAAGTAGCTCCACGGCTGCACAGCAGTGGGAGGTGGTGGTTTACTACTAAAAGGACCATTCCAATATTTAGAAAAGGCCCATTTTACGAGTTACGACGCCATTACCAGTTTATGTTCACGGCCAATGACAGCTTGTGCTTTCAGCCACCGGGGGCCCGGGGAGAGTGAGTTAACTTCTTCACATGAGCAGCGATAAACACTTGTAAAACTCAATTTTACACCATCAACTCATCTGAGTCCTGTTGAAGATAACAGGCCGCAGATCTTTAGTCAGGCTTGTCAGCTCATGTTTGCCACACGTGCAGCTGCCCAGATTAACACCGCAGCACCGGTCGGAGGGGCCTGAGCAGGAAAGACGTACAGAGCGATCGTTTTTTTAATCTCCTCACAGGTACGATTCAGAAGGCCTTACTCTGACTGCCATTCTTTCTGTGGGCTAATTACAAAGCCTTAATTATAATTAACAGAGTGTCGTGAATCGGAGCTGCCATTAATTAGCACGCCGGGCTCCTCGTTTGTTTATTGTTGGAAAGCATGCTCACCTCAGGAGCAGATGAAAGAGATTAGTCTTCAGAGATGTAAACTCTAGTTTGAGACCCACTTCATTCTGTGTGAGTGAGCTGAGACATTAACTCATGATATCATTCTATTGCAGTTTTTCTTTCTGAAACTCAGAAACTCCGCAGAAGCTGCACCACCACCACCGCTGCTGCACAAAGAGCTGTTCACCTGTTTATTCAAAGTTTACTGCAGCTCCACTCAGTACACAGAACCCAGGACTGGAGAACCACTCTCCTTTGTTAAGAACATGCGGTTGTCGTTAATTAACGGCGTCACCTATGTTGACGAGTCCCAGCCACCCCTGCTGCAGAGCACTGGTTGCCTATTTTGTGCATTAAAGGCCAAATCCAATACAATTGAAATAAATGGATTCTTAAAACGTAAGCCCAAACTTTCACATTTAACGCCGTGATTTTCACGTATATATGTTTGTAGCCTAAACGTCCACTGTTATCCACGCAGGAATGCAGCTCCAGAGGACGATAAGAGTGAGATATTGACTTCGCCACGTGTCTCAATCACACCACATTTAAACTGCACTTTTCTTGAGCCGTTAACAACTCACATGTCACGAGTGAAAACGATAAGATGAACGGTTCTGGAGATATGTGAGCCACAGACAGACAGACAGACAGAGATCTGTGGATTTCTTAGATCGATGGATATACGCTAAGTGCTTGTTAAATAAAGAGAAAATGGTGTGTTTTGATACTGACATTTAGTTTTAAGGATCCCCCTGTGTACGTTGAATGAGTCTTTCAAGTTTATCCATTAAAAGAATGTATCAGTAAAGTTCAGGACATGGCACAACCGCACCTCACAGCTAATTCAGGCATTCTTTGATCACAGCAGAGCCTCTCCGCATCTAAACTTTGGAGGTTTTCATGTACACACACATATTCTCCACCTCCACACTCATCTTCAGTCTCTCAGGACAGAAAGGCCAGTGTTCTGCCTTCATGCATTGGCCAGATGTTTCAAGAAATATGAATTGCAAAAGAAAGGAGCTGGCAGAGGTGGCAAACAGGGGGGAGATTACGATGCGGGGCCCGGGCGAGATAGGGCAAGCTTTTGAAGGTGTTTTCCACCTCCACCTCGAGTGACACGCGATGCCTTTGAAAATTTAAGGTGACTATAAAGTAGCACCCATTCAACAGAGCGGAGTTAGGCGGACCGTTGGGATCGGCTGTCTGGCCAATAATGATAAATGTAGTCATTTGAATTCCCAGAGCAACAACATCTCTAATCTCTTTTTTTGGGGTTAGAGAGTTGAGACGCATGACTAAGTGACATGCTCGGTGAAGCCTCGTATAAAGGGATGTTTTCCTAAATGTTCGGAGCCTGGAAAGAGAGTCCCCGAAGTCACGAAACTTCAACTCGTGATGGAAGAGTTTGCATTTTGTCTATCGAGAACTTAAATTTCACACCGCAGTTAGATCCGCTCACGCTGCAGAAGTAGCCATCGCTACTCTGAAGTGGTGGGTAGCTCATTTTGAAAATTGAATGCTTTATGAAATCAGTTTTAAAGCCCCTATGAAATAGAGATTTGACAAGGGAGAACGCTGCAGAGCAGCATGGAGCGTGATTTGATAAGGCAATCTTGCACGCTGATTGGGTTTGGGAGGTAATAGAGCTCCAGACATTTGAGTTTCAAACAGCAGATGTTTTGCTGTAACGCAGGAAGGGGAGTGCACTGGAAGATGACATGATAGTGCCGCTTCATGAAAAAAACACGACATAACAGACGACAAATGTCCGTTTCGCTTCGGCATCCTGCAGTGACGCCGGAGTCAAATCATATTTCAGATGGATCTGGGCAGACGTTGTCACTGCTGAAGGAGGCAGGCAGTATGTCATATTTGTGTAATGGCTAATCAGGATAACATTTCCAACTTGGATTTGGCTTCTAATCTCTGGGGACGCCGTGCGTAGCCGGGAACAGTTTTTACCAGAGGGGACACTGTTCCTTTAAGAGGATTAGTGAACTGTCTATCAGTCACGTCGCGTTAAACTAATGTTTGCAATGGCCCCTCGTCAGGGCCAGAATACGCCTCCTCGCTCCGGAGCATCAAAATAAATGTTTACATGCTTCTGCAGAAATAAAATGATTTGAGATGCTTCCCTTATCATTCAAACCACTAAATCAGCTCTTCTCTCTTTTCCTGCCATAACCTTTGCCTTGAGCAAACCCACACACACGTACATAAACAGAAAAAAAAGATATAAAATACGGCTGTCTCCTCTGGTGTTCGAAGCATATTGAGGAAATCGAGTTCCAGTGTTGTTTCTTCCACCTAGCAGCAGATTTTCTGTGCTCAACCGTGGCCTGAAATCAGTTAAGTGATTTTCTACAGTTCTAAAATAAGCACTAACTTTCTTTGATCACGGAATTAGAAACGCTAATAGCTGTGCATAAACGTGACACAACTCGATGCTTTTTACGATTTAATGGTGAATGTAATCTATGGCACCTTCCAATTTGTTTGCTTTATAGCTTAACGGACACCGGGGAAATATAGAGTAAGAATATACAGGCGAGGAGGACGGATGCTGGGTCAGGAGAAGTGTGTTACTTACAACCGCTCTTAAATCAGACATATAGGCATATAGAATCAACCGATTAACATTGCAGAGAGAGAGGGAGAGAGAGACAGTGATTGAAATGCTCCCCCATACCCCTTCCCTCATCTGCTCAAACCGCCTGGAGTTCTCCCCTTATCAGCCCACATGAAAAATAAATCTGAGTTTCAGGTCACAATCCAGTCGATTCCGAGTCAATCCGCCATAATTGGTTGGCGTCACATGGCGGCCGAGCTGAAATCTATCGGGCAGCCAGGCTGGAGGAGGCCTAATTGGTGTCAGCTCAGGTTGCTGCACTACTGCAGGAATACAGGTCTGCTCTGCCGGCCCCTTCTGCCAGACCACTTTTAACAGATTTTACCATTCACCCCGTGTCTTTCCATCTTCTACTCAAGGAGTTTTGAAATTAAGCACAATCACGCACTTCATACAGCGGCAAGCAGTGAGAGCTGTTGGGTTTCTCTTATGAGGCCTCTTTCAAAATCGGTTATTTGTATAGTTTGTGAAGGTTATTTTAGTCGTTACCACGACTACAAGCCAACATTTCCCTGAACCTGTTCATTATTTCAACAACATCGCTGACTGGCAAGAGCGAAGCTGATAAAACGTGTTTTTACTGGACATGTGTTTGGAATCATACAGAACTTTACAGTGTTTGAATGTAATGAGTGCATTTAGTGGATATTGATTTATGTGGGCTGGGGGTGCATACTGATATTTGGAGGGACTGATATAAATATAAGAAATGACAATGATTGACAATGAAGAAACTCATGCTTGATTACCGAAAACAATTAATCAGAAACTTTAATCATAATCATTAAACACCACAAATAAAAAGAAAACACAAAAATAACCAAATATGTAAACAGAAAATATACTAATGAGCCTCTGAAGTACCTCTGTACCTCCTCTGTATGCTTCTCAATAAATATTGGGTGAATAATTTACAGACATTTACTTTGAGAATATGATTATATAAAACAACATTATCAGTTTTCAAAATATTATTTGATTATTTTAATATATTTTACAGGTAGAACAACCTCACAACACAATTAAAGTAGTGCTTACATAATAATGCATCAATAATAATGATGCAGTTATTTCATTACATAACTGACCACTTTGTTTACTTGCTAATGCTTGAATAACACATATAATACTTTGAATTCGGGAACCTTACTTGTAATGCAGTATTGTTACGCCATTATTTTGCTTCAGTAAGTGATCAAATACTTCATCATCAATATGACTGTGAGAGTCTTGACAATCCTCTGGTTGGTATCAGATCAAATGAAACACGAGCTTTAGAGGGTTGTTGTTCCCGTTATCAAGCGACTGTTGTTCATCTGTTATTTGTTGTTTTTCCGTTGCTCATTCGTGTCACATTAAATCAGGAATATGACTAAATGTCTCTTGTCTGTCAAAATGACTCATACTGTAAATTGTGAACTCAGCGTGAGGTGACAAGGTGTCAGCTGCTCGTAGGCACATTAACATGACAGCAGTAATTACAGCAAAGTAAAACAGATCTCTGCATCTTCAAAAGGCCAAGATTAAAACCATGAGTAAGATTTAGGTTTTAAAAGCGTTTTATTTCTCATTCACTAAAGACAGCTGCTTCAATATTTTATTAGAAAACAGCAACTCAAAAAACACTTAAATTGAAACCAGGATATTATCATCTCTATCATTTAACATATCTATGTCATTTAAATTGCAACTTTATAATTTCTTTAGTTGTAAGTTTGTTGCTGCAGTGAATATTCTGTGTAGCTGCGGTCGATCTCCACATTACAAGGGTTCTTACCCTCGGAGCCTCATCGCCTTTGGCACTTGGTATTTAGCCTGAGGAGAAGAAACCAGCCCCGTTCTGGCACAGCCACATTATTATATCATAAGCAACCGCCCGCTGGGAGCCAGAGTTTGTTTTTATTTCGCTATCTGCAGATTGATTTGGAATATAAAGCACAAATATGGGCAAATATTATTTATATATAAAAGGAGTACAAATCACAAAACACAACTGCAAACGATGAAATGAGAAAACAGCAAATTAAAATAACTTGAGAACACGCAGCAGCTATTGAGAATTGACAATTTTTCAGCATTTCATTCTGTATAGTTCAACTGTCCAATCAATGGTGAGCATTGTCAGTAGAACCATTTCTGTTAGAAGTTATTGCCATGGTGATTTGTCACCGTGGTTTTTTACTTCACTGCAGCCGTACAATAGAGTCCTGTACTCTGACTGACAGCAGTTTAATTTTTTAATACTGTCTCTCCCCCTCGTAGCTGACATCATATCTACAGTGTATTGACTGCGGCCTCTCCTCTCACTCCTCCACCGCTCTGCAGCTACTTAAGTGGCTCCCATGTACTGTCTCCTCCTGCCCTTTGACCCCCGCTCTCCTCAGGGAACAGTAATTAAAGTCTGATTTCTGCTGCACGCTCTCCGCAGGATTGAATATTTCATCACCTCCCAACACTAAACAGGAGACGTGGGACACACCCACTCGGAGCAAAGGGGGGATTTTCCAATGAGGCTGCAAAGCCCCTTATGATAAACTATAGGGTTAAAGAGCAGATGCTGTACACGTAAGGGGACACTTAATCATCCAGCACCAACCGCAGGGAACAATTGATCATCTCCAGGGCTGTTTGTTCTGCCACCATACAGCTTAACACAAGAGCCAATACAGAGCAGATATTTTAGACAATGATTTCTTTTTTTCCAACTTGTTGTTCTAATAATGCCAGCGGAGAAAAAGTGATCGGGGTCACCGAGGCTCGACATCCTGCTCGGCTTCACCCTCTGTCATTTTCATATGGCAAACATTGTAATTGTTTCCTTGAAGTTGGGAAAAAGTTTCTGTTGAGATAAGTGAGTCGTGTCTCTTTGTTTGTTCCTTTTCATTTTCAGTTAGTTTGATAGTCAGGCCTCGTTTTGTTTTATCGATTTCATTTATTTGGAACAACCACCTTGTCCCACTCTGCTTAACAATAAATCACCTTAATTTCACAACTGCTCGGAGCAGTTTCCCAACATACACGTGGATAGTATATTTATTTCCCTGTTTGGTAACAGCTTATGTAAGAGTTGCATATTTTCAAACTAATTTCTTCAAAGTTTTTGCTCAGGATTTCCGAAAAAAGTGTCTTGGCATTTAACTTCAAATAACTTTGATATTTCTAAGAAAGATCCACACCACTTGATATTAAAGAAATTAAGGATTCATTTCCTGCAAGATTTTCAAGTTAAGGGAAAAGGCTAGGATTACACAAAGGGTGAGTAAAAAAATAAGTTTTGAAAAAGTGTGGTGAAAGTCAACATGTTTTGATGGGTGCTGCATAGACAAAATATCACAGAAGTTCCACAAACTAACACGCTCTCGTTAAAAGGTTATATTTTACGTGAAAAAAAGTTCTCAAACTTATGTCATTACCCACTTTTGTTTACTTTGAAAACTCTTTCCTTCAATTCTTCACATTGAACTGCACATGTGCATGGTCATAAGAGATGGAGTTATGGAGGAATGTCAAACTATAACAAGATCTTCTTGCTCCATAGCATTACTTATGGGTTAAATTAAAATTCACTGCAAATTATTTATTCATTATATTTCATTTGTAAACAAGTCACCCAAAATTTGACAAAGGAAAATGATTCTAAACTCAGTTTTTCAAAAGTAGATTACCAGAGCACATCACTGTGTTAATTCATCCACACGTTTATTCACCGAGCAGTGAAACCTTGCTGTCTGTGATAATAACTCGTTTGCATGACTCTTCTCGGAGACGAAGCACTCGTCCCCCATCATGGCTGGTTATTCTCGGCGGCAGCTGTAAACAGTCTCTTTGTCACTCAGCGACTCGATAGATTTAACAGGTGGATGCGAGATGCATACTAACACGAGCATCTATAAGACAGTCAGTCTCCCCCTCCAGCTAAGTGGCCGGCTCGGAGACAAAGTCATCTCTGTCAGAGGCACAGAGGGCTGCAGTTTTGATCGAGCTAAACACCAGGCTCTGGTGGAGAGGAAATGGAGAGAGCCGTTAACCTTTTCGGTTGTTGAATAATGAAAAAGAAAATAACGTCAGGCCCATGTCCCATCCTTCCGCCAAGTTCCTCATTCTCTTCAGTAGCATAATCCTAATTGCTAATCCTAACGTAATAAATAAGAGTTTCTTAAACCTTGGTGTGCTCTGAGATTTGGAGCTTTGCAACATAAATGTCTGTGCCTTTCCTAAAGTCGCTGTTTTTACACTTTACAACTGTAATTCTAACCGGCAAAATAGCAGCACTGGCAGCCATGTTCCACAAGTGTCTGTTTGGCCCATTGGAGCCTGTTGAGTCTGTTTGTGTTCTGTGTTTGCAGTGCGTACCAGGTGGTGGTGGAGGAGGAACGTCCACGCAGAGCACGGGGCACAGCAGAAATCCTGCGCTGCTATCCAGTTCCCATTCACTTCCAGAACGCCACGCTCCTGAACTCACAGTACTACTTCACCGCTCAGTTCCCCGCCGCTGGCATTCACTCTCCCCAGCCCTTCACTGTGGGGGACAACAAGACCTACAACGGCTATTGGAACGCACCATTGCTGCCCCAGAAGAGCTACAGCATCTATTACCAGGCTGTCAGCACAGCCAATGGGGTGGGTGTTCCTCATAGTTTTATTTTATTCATTAAATCTTAGTTATCTTAGTTTCACTGTACTGTACAATGCTCTACTTGTGTACAATTTGGTGGTAGTACTTACATTTTTTATGTTACGTGAACACACCGGGACTGATGCAGAGCAGAGTGAGTGTTGAGCTGATGAGAACGATATGCTGGTATCTATCAGGTTTATGCTGAACTCTGCCTGCCTGCCCAGGACAGTAAAAACTTTATGGATGTTTTAATTGGCCACTTACACCGACAGCATTTCTTCAATTGCTGCAGATTTTCGGTGTGACAATTTCAGATGGGTCAACGTACACAGCACACAGTTCGACTATGATGCTAACACTAACTTAAGCCATTTTATGTTGAGTCGGAAAATTGTCATGCAACTCTGAGAAATATAGTTCCTATTTAGTGTTTACAGGCTTTTTACCTTTCAAAGCATGACTTCTATGTTAAAGCATAATGCACATTATATAACCCCTTAAAGTGTATAATCAACCAGTTTTACATATTATGTTTGCTTTAATGAGAGTGAAAGGCTGACTGACGGATGTATTGGCTAAAAGAGACCGAAGTAGCTGATCACACATGCAAACATCAGCAGTTGCATGTGCCCTCTGATGAATGTGTCGGTACTCTGGTGGCATGAAGCAGCAGCAGCAGCACTGTCTGCACTCTTAATAGCATACAGCCAGGTCAAGCTTGAAATGCATAGCTCTATGCTCCTTCCCTCCATTACCGTGGCCCTGTTCCCGCTGCCTTTTCCAATGGAGCTTTGTGCCAAATGCCAGACAAGCCTTTGATCAACTGCATTTAAGAGAGGCAGATGTCCCAGCGGCAGTTAAGTGCGGAAGACAGGCAACAACAACGGGGTTACCGATCGCACAGGTCGCAGCCTCTGTCATCAAGTGGCACTTTGGCGGGGGCCCTCCCTCCGCAGGGCCGCGGCAGACAGCTCAGTGGCAACTTCAAGAGCGCCACCGATTGTGGTCTTGAATGAGAATCACCAGAAACAGCCTCCTTAAGAAGCACCGGCACGTCTTTAAGGAGGAAATAGAAATAAACACATGAGGCAGGGCTGAATGCAATTAGTGTGTTTGCTCTTGAGAGTAACGCATCAATGGCCTGAAACTTTCCAGGGTGAAGTGGTGAGTGGTATGAATTGGATGATAATATTCTTCATTGAAAGCAAAATGAATGTGTCCCTTGTTGACACAGCCGTGAATGACATTTCTCACATTATTTTTATGTTCAGTCATTTGATTTACAGCAACCAAATGTCCTCTTTTATCAAACGGTCACTGTCAATGGATAGAACAAGCTTCAATTCATGTGTAATGATGTTGGAGTGATTTGTTTGAGCCTCTTAAATAAAGTTAGCACTTCAATCCATACCGAGGTTTTTTCACCCATTTATTCAAATAAAAATTTAATATGAATTCTTGTAATGTTGCCTTCAACTATAAGGACCTTCTGACATCTGTGGAGCTACAATAATGCACAAGCACCCAGGATCACATGAATGTTGTTTTTCCGTTCGTCCTCCAAATGCTGTTTCTTCCACTTGTGCTCATTGCTCATTGGACAGCTCGTCTGGGGACACAAACACAGGGACACAGCACTCGTGTCTTTTGTGTTGTATTACTCATTGCCTCCTTGTTCTTGTCTGTGTCCTTTTTCCTGTTCACTAGACCACTGTTGACATGAAACTTTTTCTGCCAGCAGTAAGAGCAGTGTTCTTTTACATTGTTGAAGGCTGTTGTCAGAGCTGAAACTCCATTACATATTCAGAAAGGCTCCCTGACGTGTCATTTTGGAGCTCCGCATGCTGGGGTTGGTGTCGCTTGTCACAGCGCTGTGGTTTCTCCACAGTGGCTGACCACCTTGAGCCGCGGGCTGCCGACAGATCGCTGTTGGCTGACAAATCAGCAGCTCAGCACCACTAATCTGTGCTACGGGCCCTCTCGCCCAACTGCATTTTGTGTCACAGTCATTGAGCTCGACAGATGATAGGGGACAGCGTGGAGCTGGTCGAGCTGTTGTGTCGTATACCGTGGGTTCTTAGATAGGTGTTGTTGGCGCCGTGAGCGTGTCTTTGTGCGTGTGTCTCACGTCTGTGCATGTGTGTTTTAATGATCTCTGATCCTCTCTGATCCTTGTCTCTCCTTCTCCCCCCCCCCCCGCCCTCCTCTTATTTATTTGTTTGCACAGGAGACCAAAATCGACTGTGTCCGAGTCGCCACAAAAGGTAGGATGAGATCAGATTGCGCGAAGGAGGATGTTGTTGGATCCTAACATAACTGGATTTGTGGAGACTAACAAAATTAACATGTTTTTGAATGAGAATCACTAAATTAGATTTTTTTACCAACAATCACATTTTAGTCTCACTCTTCATCGAATCACAAAGCAGAAGCAGGTTTGAGTTCATTGTAATTGTCTTGAAAAACAAAAGTGGACCTCACATGAAATAGGAAAACAGATTGCACAAGAACATGTGTTTTTCAATGACTGGGAGTGTGCCCACTTAGGTCTTTAGGTACTTAGCTATGCTGCCGGTACGTCCAGCTCCACACATTAAGGATGATGAAGTCTAAGCAGCATTGATCCGGGAGCAGAATTGATAAGGCCAGAGGGAGCCCCAGTCACACTCTGCTCCGAGCTGCGGAGGGTCCTGTCATATGCCCCAACGATCTTGTATATTGTGGATTTTACATTCACTGCAGATTTCTCTTGGAGTTGCAGATATCTCCATCTGCTTGGCTGAAGTCAAATAGCACATTCTAGTAGTGGAAGGATCATCGGAGCAATTTCTCACCTGAGGGGACACATTTTTATGCCTCGGCACCAGTGACAGCCGTGGCCGTCCCACCCTTGTGAACACGATATCTCATTCAGGCCTTGAAGGAATTTCTTCAAATTTGGTGCAAATGTTCACTTGAGCTTATGGTTGAACTGATTGGGTGTTTGTGGTCAAAGGTCAAAGTTTACTGTGACCTCACAAAATTCTTATAATTAATGTATCATCATAATCATGTAAATACTTTTTATTGAATTCTTCCAATGAGTGTGGGCAGATGATGTTTGGCTCAGACATTTAGTACAAGGTGGTATCTCTTCTTATGCACCACATTAGGTTCATAGACATAAAACCTTGTTTGTGACTGACTGAAACAAATTGTGAAATACTTTCTAATACTGTAATGGTTTTCTTTCTCTGCCTCAGTGTTGCATGATGATGGGAACTGTTGATATGGCTGTTTTCAGCTTCAGTGTGGCCTCTCTCTCTCTCTCTATCTTTGTCTCTCTCTGTCTGTCTCTGTCTCTCTCTCTCTCTCTCTCTGCTGCATGCTGTCCTGGATCCACTGACAATACTCAGCCGCCATTCTCGTGACTCAGCTCACAACCCCCTACATCCGCATCGCCCCAGCGGCTGGTGACAACCAACTAACAGGTCAGACCTGTAGCTTCCTGCACATTCCCTGGTATCACACCTTGTGTTTAATGCGACAGTCATACCGATGAGCGCCTCTACAGGAAAAACAAACAAGTGAAATATTGCATGTGTGTGTTTTTTGTTTATCGTCTTTCAATTTGCGTAGAATCAGTGCGATTAAATCAAAGACTCGCAGACATTGTCCTCTGCCTTTATCTTCTCGGTATTACTGGACTTGAAAGACCTGTTTGAGGTGCGATTGTCATTTGATGTGTCAATGTTGGAGATTTCTGTCAGGAGTTAATCCCCTTTCATGAATATTTCTCATTATTTCAGTGAGATTAAGTGTTTCGTCGATGTTGGTTGCTGCAGTTGTGACAACTGTAAGCACACAAAAGGAAGCTGAAGTGCTCGTCGTGAAGATCTGGGAACATTTTCAGGAGTTCAGAATTTAAAATCTGCTTATTTTCTACCTGTTGTGTTAGAATCACAAGTTCCCGAAGTCAGAATGGAAGAACATTGACTTATAGCAGAAACTTTCTACAGACAGCATCTCTACAAGTTAAGCCTAAAACAGTATATTGGAGCAAAATCAGGCCAGACATGATTCTTAATGTGCCGCCAGTTTAAAAATCCTCCACTGCTCTGCCCTAAAAAACTGATACCTAAATAAAGCAATGGCTGTTGATAACAACACACCAGAGCAAGAACAATATGTCACAAGCAGCTCAGGATGGATGTTCACTTTTTTGATAGCGGGAGAAAATGGCAACACTGAGGAGTGGAAGGAAGCTCGCTGTAACAGATTTGTCTGACACAACAATTTATCATTCTAAATTTACCCCTGGTGACAAGGAATAATGGTGTTGTTCAGGTGGACAGTTGTGATTCCGGCAATGCTGTCGTCCTCAAAGTGCTTCTTATCACTTTCCAGGGAGCAGATGCTGTTAAAACAAGCGTTCCCCCTCCTCTCCCTCTCTCTTTGTGTCTGTCGTTGTTGGCTATCTCCCCCCGAGCTGATATTTAATGTTTTGGTTATTTCAGGCTTTTTTATCTTGGTGCATATTATCTTTGCCGTCCTGCATCCTACATTTTTCTGCAGCCCAGAACCCATTTGCCCCAAACATGATTAACCAAGGGTAAAGATGGTGCACACTTATCGCTCCCGCTGCAGCTTGATCCACAGAGCGTTGATTTCCACGAAGGATGGAGCTGAAGGTGGAGTCTCAGGACAATAGGGAGTCTCTCACTCTCAGAATAAACATTAGTCTGAGCCAATAAATGTGCATTGATATTTCGTTCTGCGGAATGCCACAGAATATCAGCGTATTGATTTGTCAACCTCCGTCCTCCGCACAGTCGGATCAATAAGAGGAAATTCTGGAAATATAGACGTGTTCTCTGACGTTTGGTTTATGTAGAACAATAACAAATAGTCATTAGATTCGATTCACACTCTGCTCAGTGGATTTACACTTTCTTTGCTTGATCTTTATTTGCATTTTTTCCAGGAGCAGCCACTCACAAACCTGACGCGGTGGAACCAGAGAAACAAACCGACCACACGGTGAAGATCGCAGGGGTCATCGCCGGCATCCTCCTCTTCGTCATTATCTTCTTAGGAGTCGTACTCCTCATGAAGAAAAGGTTTGTTTTTCCCTCTTACTCGTTGAAATACGAATTCAGATGCGTGCAAGAGGTCGAAGTTAGTTCCTAAAAAACAGTCGCTCCCATTCAATCTGGCATCATTTTGTATATTCCTCCCTCAAACAGTAGTATTGTCAGCGTCATAGTAAATAATTAATTTGATTATGTTGATACGCCCCATTAAGGCTGTTTACAGCCATGAGATACAGTGTGCCATGAAAAATTAATCCCTTTCCACGGCACTCTCAAACAAATGTGCAGCGCTTCAATGACATCGGAATGGGAATAGGAAAAAAACAGTTTTTGAGGCCTGTGGTATGGAGTGAGGGAGGGAGAGATAAGAAAGAAAATATGATGAAAGGCTCAAAAGGAAAGAGGTTGGCGGCGTAGCTGAAGGCCAAGTTTACATTAGCCCTGGACCCCATACTGGTGAGGGGTCCTCTGTACATATCCCAGCAATCAGAGGAGCCAAAGCTCAGCAAATATCAACCCCCTCTTGTCCACACAATACATTGTCAGCTTCTGCAGAGAACTATTCTTCCTTTAATATCTCGCTAGGAAAAACAAACTACATTTCAAAAAACAGCCTAGAGTTTGTTAGCTTTAATGTACTTTCAACTTTTAATTCTTCCACTGCTTGTCTTGATTTAAAGCGCAAAGGTCAGTACAATAGATGAGGTAAACACAGCAGAGTGGGAAGGTATAGTTGTGTACTGCTAATAAAGAATCCTCATGTTAGATGTTTATTTTTGACAGTAAAGAAAGATTTTTTCATTTTTCCGCAGCAGGTCCTGTCTGTGTAGCACAGCGATCAGTGGGTGGGTGTGAAAATCAGCGCACGGTAATGGAATTGTTTTCAATTAGCCTTAATCAAAGCAGAGATGGAGATGACTTCATTGATTGAATTTTGTGTAATTTACTGTTACCAACAGGGAATCGGTAGTTGTGTGTAGACATTCAATCCACTCATTAGGTTTCAGCCTCTGAGGTCAGATATGGTAATTCTTTATAGGTGGATAAATGTATTCATAAAAGTGGGTTTTTAGCGAAAGCCTGGTTTCTTCTCGTTCGCAGTCTCGCAGCGTAGCCTAATAGCGACTTAAGTAGTTTTCTGAACCATACCGAGGCCCCTTCGCAAAGCATGACATGACTCCAAGCGATCACCTTTGCCCTCACGATCACTAGTTTACCTCCACGTATGCCACCATATCTGATTTTGTTCATTTCTTCTCTTTTTTCAAACATTAATATATTTTTACTTTTTCTTTCCTTTTCATTCCATCCCCTCCCCCTCCTCCACTGCTTAAATCCTACCACCACCCCACTCGGCAGAAGAACCTATCACTCCTACACTTACTACCTGTAAGTAACCACTTTGTGTAATGTTAGTGCCATGCTTCTCACCCACACGCTGTTTTTCCCATGCATGCAAAGAGCCATGTCATTCCTTTCCTGCCCAGAGCTATTACAGAGGCCCAACTGTAATCTCTGCGGGAGGAACGGAGGACACCACTCCGATGCATCTCCACGCAATGAGCACATCACGCTTTATGTCACGTTGGCACGGCTTCAGACGAAAGCGCACAAGAGGCTGCTGCACCCCCACGAAACAAAACCTGCCACAGAGACGTTACTGCAGACGTATTTCTGCAGAGACTTTTAAGGGGTTTGTTTATCAAATGATGAACTAAACTGCCTTAATGATTGTATGGCTGCCAAACTCATCTTGTGAGAGAGAAAAAAAAGTCAATGCAGCAGCTACTGCATTTTTACTCAGTGTGAATTTTTCATTCGCCTCCGATGATTTCATCTCTGTTGACTTGTCAGACTCAGATGTTTTGAAGTGCCTATCACGGCGCGTCTTGTGGCCTGAACCTCAATGAGGTGATTCGAATATCTCACATTTTGAACACTTATGTTTACACTCTGCAAATCAGTGGAATTGACCACGTTTTTTAGGTTTTTGCACTGAAATTTGAAGCATGAGCTAACATGTTGACCATACCAATTTGGCTCCATGTGCATGTGATGATTTATTCTCCCCTTCTCCATCCTCTCACGATGTCATCACACCATCTCAGCTCTCATGCTTTTCCCTGCTTTTATTTACGAGCATGTTCTCCTGGGTCACTGCACGTCCATCCCATCGATTCAATGGTGATGGTGGAGTTGTGTCTTTTAGCCGACAGGACGTTTGAACAAGCAGATGTGATCACACACCAGCCTCCTCTGTATTTACATGTGTGCGACATCATAGAACAAAAGCTGCAGCACCGCTTGATTCACTCTTAATACAACAGATGAACCCCGCATCACACCTCTGAATGGTAAAGAAGCTTATTCTGCAGCTCTGCCTTCTCCGCCGTCGCTCCCTCTGTACAGTCTTTGTGACGGATGCCAACTAATCTGTGTTGAGATGACTGTGATCAGAGGGGAGAATGGAGGCTGCCTCGCATCAAAGAACATCTCAGAATACACCTGCAGATAATACTACTCTGAATACGCCGCGTGTCACTCACGCTAGATCACAGCCGTCTTGAATGGAAAACCCGATGACTTAGAGGAGTAGTGCCATCAAAGCTGTGAGCGCACGTTGGCCGAGTTACGCAAGAAAAGATGCCAGTGAAACAATTCAAATATCGTTTTTGTCATTTTAATTATTACGTGTAGGTTTCTTGGCGTCATGCCAGTGTGCATGCAGCTGTATCAAAACAAGCCCCGACATAAATTCATTGAATTTTACTATATTTCATCATGTGGCTGCCTCCAGAATGGACAGTTGGGAAGAGCTGCAGGAAGTTGGGGATTTAATTGCTAATTTTAAATTTTTGGACGAGTCTATTCTTGCATAAGAAGGACATTTAATCTTAGATTTGCTTTAATTGACAGCGTTTCAGTTTGGGTATTCTGGCTCCGAACAATGGATGGGATGGTGTGAAGCCAAAATCGCAGGCTCAGTAGTTAAAGCATCAGAATGAACGCAGGGTTTACAGTCATGATTTCAAAAGAAGGGATCTGCAGGGCTGCAGATGTTGTGTCTCCACTCTCTAGCTAACAAGACTATACGTTAGATGAAATGAAGTATTAATGGTCCTTGTGCCACGACGGCAGCAAATTCTAAAAGATAATTGATAAAACACACTTTTGCAAATGAAGTTTATGAGATTGCAAAATCAAATAAATGAATATTTTTTATTTTTTTTAATATTGTTTGAGCTGCAACAAGTGACACAGACCCTCGCACTACTGTCGATGGAAAATCCACAACAGCCCCATTTGTTTTAACATAAAAGGCTAATTTCAAAGTAAAAATTCACTTGACAACCATTTTGATGATAATTGAATTGATTTAGTCTCCTCCCCTGCAGCTGTTGTATTGACTCACTGCATGTTAATAGTTTAAATTTCAGTATTAATGATTCTTAGCATCTTGTTTGCAGTTTTATCACATTTTCTTAGAGTCAATTAATAAAAGTAAAAACTTCATTATACATTTTCAGCTAAATACATGTTCAAAGCTCGTTGTGCATCACCATCTAAAACCACAAGGCCTTTAAGAGTTGGGACAGGTTTCCATCATGTGGCATTGAGAATCGGTGCAAGTAAGAGAAGCATGTTAGCTAATTGACAAGATTATCACCTTAACAATGAGAACCATGATATTCTCCCTCTCTGGTGATACTTTAAAGGTTTCTAAACTTAAGCAGATTAAACCTAAAGTTTATTATAGACTGTATTCTGAAGACGCTCTCCTCCTCCAGAACCTCCTCTGAAGTGTCCATCAGCGTTTCTGATGATGCCTTGTTGCCAGCCATGAGATTACAACACCTCTATGATTGATGAACCCTATTAATGCTCTCACGCATTCATCAAAGTCTTTTTTAAAGACACGAGAAAATCCTGCATTCGCCAAAATATGCACTTTAGGTGGATTGCCAGAGGTGGCTGCGGGGGCTACCAACACATCAGTCAGGGCGCTCATTACTGATGCGGTTACATGTGTGATCAAATATATGACCGTCCTTTAATCAGGTGGCCACTGTGGCCGCTGCGCCCGCTGCTGCTGGGTATGAGAGGAGATCTACTGGCATTTACTGGCAAGGGGTTGCAATTGGGTCCTTACTCCTGTGAGCATTGGATTTATCCACCAAGCGACAGGCATGTTAAGTAGAAATATGTTCACTGATTTACTTTCACTAAACCCCAGGTGTGTGATGTCAAATACTGTCTTTATTATTAGATTTAAGATTTAACTTATCGCTCAATGGAAAACCAAGAACGTAAAGAATAAAAAAATATCCACTAAAGCTTAAAACGTTTAAACTAGAAACAGATTTTAAATTGTCTTGATTACACTGATTAAAGTACAAGCTGTAGAAAATGTGTCAATTTACCTTAGCGGCTGTACTAATACACAGTTGTAGCTACAAGTAAATTTAGTCTTGACGTTAATCTCTTTATTGTACTAAGTCAATTTGATTTTCAATTTAATTTGCATGATAAATATTTTTCTATGAACAAAGGATTAAATGACTATGTTAAATATGAAAGGAGTTGACTGGAGTGATGTCTCTGCAGTTCTTTTTACTTCTGCAGAACGTTTTAGAAGGTTGATTTAGAAATGAATTGTTTTCGTAAAAATAAAAGCTTTAAACACTCCGCTGTACATCGTCTATCCAGCACGTATAAAATTAGCAACTAGCTGGGTAATATTATTGCACTTTAAGCAGCTGAAGACCCAAATATTTTCCTCTGGAGTTGGTGGAGACCAAAAATTGAGCTAAAAGGAGAGTGAGGACCAGTGTCATATAAAACTAAGAAATAGAATAGGAACAGATAGATGGAGCCATTTTTAATACTTGTATTAATGTTTAACATTAAAATATAACAAAAGGAAGCACAGACAGTCAGATACATAAATCAACTTTGTGATTCTTTAGAAATCTTTTCATAATCAGCCGTCTTGCACTCAGTCAGAATGGGAGGTCTCCTAAATGCACCATGTTTAACACAATGTGCTCGGGGCAAGCACCTTGATTAAACCTTACAAGACGAACATGCAGCAGGAATCACATTAATTGGTACAAGCCTTGCAGATTTTTTTCACCTACGAGCTCTGCATGTTGATGAGGAGCAGGAAGGAGGAAGAGCAGTCGGGCCGAAGAAAATGATGACGTTTTAAATGCATTTCTAAAATACACACAAAATGTCTGGCACAGGTTTGGCACCGATCACACATCGGTTTCTTGTGTGAAAAGTTGTGATCATATTTCGTGAGGGTCAAAATAAGAATTTTAGAGGCAATAAAATCAACAAGGAACTCACGAAAAATGAAAATAAATGAGACGGTCCAGTGTTTTTAAAATTTCAAACTTATTTTAAAACGTGGACACAAATTTAAACAGTAAATTTAATGTTGCAGTGCGGCTCCTCAAGTTGTTTCTCTTTCCTTTGTGAAATTCATTCCTATTTTTGGATGAGGAGCCAAAAAATGAAGAGAGTTGTTAATGGACACGCTTTTGTTTGTTTTTTTACTGTTTGTTTAAAAAAAGCACGGCTGTGCAGAATCAATGAAGCAATCAAGTCAGCAGATAAACAGCACAGTTGCAGCAATAAATAGTCTGCTTTGAGAAATACCAGTTTTTCTGCTGTTTCGTCTTCTGATGCGAGTAAATACAGCAGATAGGTGATGGATGAACAGACAGTTTGCAGAAGAAGGTGATAAAAGATGGGGGAAAGTTTGAAATGAGACAAAGCGCAAAACAACCACTGAAATGCCCCCACTGGGTTAATCAAAGATGCTTTTGTTGCCCCTCCCGGCTGGGTGTCAGTCATCACGTACATGCGCGCGGCACAGATGTGTGTGCAGCGTCTAATGACGCCTTCTTTGTCCCAATGTCACAAGGTTTAGGCTGCTCCAGCGCTGAAATGAGGCCCACCATGCTGAGCTTGAGGTTTTTGAAGATCTCGTTTTAGAAGCTGCGGCAGCGTCACCTCCCACTGAACAGACATTCTGGCGAGCGCACACACGCTCGATCTGAGCGACTTCCTTTTTGTTGTAGCTGAACTCATGGAGTTAGGAGCCACTGCTCACTTAGATCCCAGATACACCAGGCCTGTCATGTGCTGAACTGCAGACAATCCCTCTAATGAGGGTTGCCTGTTATAGTTACCTGGCATGTTTGCTCACTTTGCTTCTACACACGTCTGCGCCATCTGTCTTGTCTCGTCCCTTTAATATTCAATGGCGTTCAGAGAAATTTGAGATTTTATTGTCGGGCATGTCTGCGAGTAAATCAATTACTATAAATGTTTTGTTGGGATTTTTTTTTTTACATGTGCGGCTTTAGGATAACCATCACGGGATATGATGAATGGTCGCATTCATCAACACACACAAACACTCACACTGTACACTTCCTTTTGCAATCGCTCTCAGCACATCAGACCCTGTAATATAGTCATCTATCATTACAGTTTCCCTTCTTACAAATGAGGAGAGAATAGCATGCCAATTAATCTTCATCTAACACCCACCGTGCTTAGCAACCATCCTAGTATTGCTGGTGCTTTCCTCATTTTGGCTCTGGTGTTTGTGCAGCCTTGTTTACCTCCAAGTCTCCCACTTCAACTGTCACACAGGCCGGGAGAAACGGAAATCCAAGTCCTGGCAGATGCAGGAATAAGAAAAGTGATACAGTATTAAAAACCTGGAACAGCCCCCCCCCCCGCATGAGCTCACACAGTGCAGAATCATTCTTGATATTGCCTGGGGTGCACATGTCTCCCCCTCCCCTCCTCACTCTGTCCTATTACAATATGAAGCCGTAATGGGGGGAAAAAAAGACACAATTGCCATTTTGTTCCCGAGTTTAATTGCATATTAAAGACAGAAAGTGGGTCCAGCAGATGAAAATGTCACTACTTTGTCACTTTCCTTTCTGAAGAACGGAAGAACCATTAGCCTCACGTCGCGGCCTTCAGAGCAAATGACTGTTTGAAGGCAGCGGGGGCCTGCCGCCATATGGCACAAGACAGCGACAGAATTGAACAAACAGGGGAGATTTGCGAAAACAAAGCAGCAGGAGTGCGTCATTAGACAGCAGTTGTCCACGAGAGAGACTGCAATTCAAACAGGCAGAGGGGTCACACAGAGAGTAACAAAGTGCGAGGATCAGTGTGAGGGCTGCCATAGTTAATTTTTACACCGCTTGCTCCCCTCCAGCTACAGAGCAGCGGCAGGCGTCGGGTGCAGCCGCAGCTAAAGTATGTTCGCGCTCAAGCTGTTTGCCATTTTTTCTGTTGTGCAACTTCTGTGGAAATATAGGAGTGGAGTGGAGGGGGGGGGTGATCACCTCAGAGTGATAATGCGATGCATTATTTATCACCACGGGGATATTCTCTCATGTGAGTGACTCCTTCCTGGAGGAGGTCAGAGGTGATGGTTGGCTTCAGAGCGGCACGCCTTCGGAGATTCACAGCTTCACGTCTGACACTTGAGCAAAGTAAGTGGAGAAGGAAGCTGGTTCACTCTCAGTCAGGTGGAGATGAACAAATTCAACATTGTCAGATGGATGTGCTTTATAGAGCAAACAAGAAACTAAGGAGAACACAAGCCCATGAAAATAGTAATCACACAGATACAAAGCATGTACACGCGTCTATTTCTTATAGAAGAAATTTGAAAGAAACATCCCAGGCCCAGGTCCCATCGCTCCACAAAGGTTGGCAGAAATCTGTAGTTTTTGCTTAATCCTGCTATAAACCAACCAGTCAACTAGAATAACACTCAGTACAGTTCATACCCAACAGGCCCCTGAATTCAATCAGGCTGCACAAAACAACACACACTAAGATGTGATCTTCTACATAAAGAAATCTATCTCGCAATGTTAAAGACATTGAAAAAATAAAATCCTGGACTGGCCCCTCGATCAACCCTCCGAATTCACAGGTTTCATTCTTGGTCTATGTGTCATGCTTCCTCCAAGTAACCAAAACATAACCTCATGATAATCTTCACAGTCAGAGTAGCTCAGTGTATTAACATCGATGAAAGGATTCTCTGTATGAGAATGTTTGCAGGATGTAATCGACTGATTCTGTTTTCCAGCGTGAGTCAGTGAAATGAAGCACCGCAGCTGCTTTTACATAAAACTCTCCTCTCGTTTCAGCGTGCACATATATGTACATTTCTGCATGTGTTAACTGCACAGTGCTTTAATGGTGTTTGATTAGGAACGGATCCTTTGTAGGCTCCAGCACAACAACGCAAAGTAGGTCAATAAAAGCAGGTTGACTGTTTCAGTTCACCGTTCACAACTCTTATTCTTCCTCCCCGGAACTCACAGCTAATTTTAAATCATCAGGGCCGCTGATGTAACTGGGTCAGGGTGTCATACCTTTCCACTTTCTCAAGGATTTATCTCCCCCTTGCTCGGAAAAAGTCATCTGGAGCCTAATAAACCTTAATGTGACCACAACCCGGGGCGCATTAGCTCTGCAGCCAACTCATTAGGTTCATGAGTCATCACCACCAAAATCATATCAGATCCATTCAAGCGCAGTCATTGTCGTTTTTTGTCTGATTGTGTGTTGTTGTTGTTTTTTTGTTTTTTTATCTCCCCCTGTGAAGGAAATTGGCCAAGAAGCGCAAAGAGACGCTGAACAGCACCCGGCAGGAAATGACCGTGATGGTCAACTCCATGGACAAGAGCTACACGGAGCAGGGCACCAACTGCGACGAGGCGCTGTCCTTCATGGACACACACAACCACACGCTGAACACACGCAGCGAGTGTGCGCTCACACTCAACGGTCGCAGCGAGTGCACCCTCACCCTCAACGGTCGAGGTAAGACAAGCCAGCGTCTGCCTTTCTACTGTCACACACACACACACACACACACACACGGCAGGCTGGAGGCAATTTATTTGGTTTGATCAGGTGAGACAGAAATCAAACCTGGCTGCACAGGAAGTGGTCACACTGGGACAACTTGAACGCTGGATTAGGAACATGCTCAGGGAAGAAAAAAAACGAACTCAGCCTGGGTTTTAAATTGTCGTTTTCAGGAACACATTTGTTTTGACGTTTCCCGACACTAATCTGTATTTATTTTTTTTTTGTTATCATGATCACTTATCACAACCAGTTGCATGAATCAGTTCTGAAAATGGATTTTAAACGAAGAGTTGTCTTCACTTGTCTTTTTTTTACCTCATTCAGACTTTATTCACCCCATGCAAATGGTTCCACAGTAATGCTGTAGCTTTTAAAATCCCTCTTCAAAACAGTTGAACAGAATTTACATCGATTTGAAGATTTCAAATCATTTCTTCTTTCTTCAACAGGAAGCTCCCAGGGGGGTTGTTCTGTCTGTTTTTACATTAACTGTTATTAAATGTTAAATGAGATAAAAGTGAATGGTATAAATGATTGGCTGTGTGGCTTCTGCACCATAGCTGGTCAGCTGTGGTAATAATTGTGTAAACGCTTGTTAATGGCCTGGAGCGAATCTGGTATCTTGATCAATAATGAAGATATCTCAAAATCCCAAACTTGACCTCAGAGCTTATCAATAAACATGAACACGAGCAGAAACTCAGCCCCCGCTCGGTTTCCAATTCATGGAGGAAACGCACAACACATACTAGATGTGCTCCGCTGCGATAACCTACTAATTTTCTCCGTCCCAGGTTAAAACTTAATACTTTGCTGATCGACAGCTCGGCTAAATCTGCACCCGAGGCTTGACCTGGTATAATCCCAGGCAAAAACCATCAGATTAAAACTGCACAGCAGCTTCTGTCTCGGCACCCCTGCAGGGGATGAGCCCCAAAGATGCTCTGACCTTGATTAACTGTCTGTTAGTGTGGTTGCTCAAATCTGTCTGCCAGCGTAAATGATTTAAATGCATTACTTCTCCCTCTGCCTGTCAGTGTAATGTTAATACTCTGACCTCTATCCTGCTCGTCACGACCTTATGTGGCTGTCAATAGTGTCATTTTGCCTCAAAACATTATGGCTGAACGAACTGAACTCATAAACACAAACCCTGTTAGTGACAGTTGACTGTCAGTGCTGCTGCTCTGGTGCAGTGAAATCACAGCAGCAGAACAGCTATAGTTCCTAATTTTATGGATAGAATGGGAATCATATTACTTTCCTTTACGTCCTTAAGACACAACAGTATACGTATTTATGAAATATATATAAATATGTCTAAATCCGTATTTGTTGGTTCATAATTCATTAATATGCAGTACTACCGTGATTATTCTGCTTTCTAATGATTACTTTTGTACTTTTTAGTTGACCAATCAATGCATGAATCAAAAAAATATTATGATATTATGTTTAAATATCATGTTAAAACAAAAACTACAAACAATCACTGCGTATTTGACATTTTATTGAAAAATCAAGACAGTAAGTCGAACCGATGATGGAAATAAGAGATAGTCGCAGCCTCATTCATGATGATGTAACTTCCAAAAGAAGAATTAACTTGGACAAACTTTTTTTTTTACAAGTTAAATTCTCTTAATTTAAAAAAAACACTTAGTTCAATAAACACATGAAACATTTTACTGCTAAAGTTTTATTTATTCTTGTTTATGCTGCATGATGTTCGCAAAGTTCAGTAACACAAAACTGAATCATTTTAACTTCAAAGATTAAACATCTGAAAATAAAATGCAATATATCTTGTAAATATAGGTTTTTCTTTTTTTTTACAATTTAAATACAGGCATAAACCTTCAATAAAAAATACAAAATAAAATCACTTTTATGTTACCATTACTTTTTAAATGTGTATAATTTGTGAAACTAAATGTTTAAACTCCTTAGCAATGTTAAATTATGATCTTCTGGGTGATTATGACGGCACATTTGTGCATTTGTAAAGTTATTCATGATGTGTTTTGAATATCTAGGAGATTTTACACTTTGTTAAATTGACAAAATGAGAATTATTTGTGCAGCAAAGAAGGAAACCATGCGTGTGGGGTCAGAGCAGTTCCAAAGATGCTCAAAAAAGGCAAGATAACATGTGTAAAAAGCAAAAATCAACTTTAATTATGTTGGATTTCAGACTAAACTTTACTTGTATGTGAAGGATTCATTCACTCAAATTTCAAAGAAACACATTTTCTCCTCTGACTGTAACATTTTGATTTGCTCAGGGTCTCAGAGATCTCAGCTGCCACCACCACACAGTGACGACTAAATAAAAAATGTATTTTCCAGAGGAGAACATGTTTTCTCGTCAGTCTAGAGACAAATGTTTAGATGTTATCTTGACGGCAGGAATATAAAGGCATCTTTGTTTTTTTCTTATATGTTGCTGTAAAGTTTGAAAACCTCCTCCACTATTGATGCGCTGTTGTTTTCCTTTGTTCCATCTGCAGCCGGATCATCACCCTCTTCCTTCACGCTGCCTAAAGCCAACACTCTGAGTACATCCATCCCCACCAACTCCTACTACCCAGGTAAACATTCACTGTATTTGTGCAAGAACTGTGTTAAATACAGACAATATTTTCTAACAAGTATTAATTATATGTTGTTTTTTGTGTGAATTAAAGTCGAAGGCTTTAATGTGAGATGTGGATTTATAGTTTTCATATGTGCTCAACAAATTAGACAAAGATTTCACTAATGAGAAGAGAGATAAATTGACTTTAGATGAGTTTTCACTCTGCTACGTCTCCGCTCATAACCGAGTGGGATTCAGCTCGTCAATTATAGCTTCAATTTCTCCAAATAATATCCGTAATTGTGTGTCTTATGCAATCAGATCACAGCTCATTGATTAGACGGAGTAAAGGGCAACGAGATTTTTTATTTTTTCAATCAACTAAACTGACTGTATAATTGCCTTTTTCCAGAAAATATGATAAGTTTCGTGTCGTGTAACTTTGGCAGGAAAAAAAAGTGTCTGTCCATTTGTGCTGCTGTTGTTTTTCTGTGGGTTTGTCTTTGCTTCTTTTATTTACTACAACTCTCTTTCCTCCTCCGACACCTGCACGTGTTATGGGGGTATGAGCAGATCCCTTTGTGCCAACCGCTATCTTAGGTGAGACACATTTTCCTTTTCCCATTTGCTGTTGATGATTTATTGTAACGTCGGTCTTACAGTGAAATGACAGAGTTACATTACATTCATACGATCGCTGTTTGAAAACTTAACTGTGAGGATTGAAAAAAAAAAAAAAAGCACACTCTACTTTTTTTTTTTCCATTTTGAGTTTTTGGTTGGCTCTTTTACTAAAGATGGCTTCCTCACCTTCATACCTGCCTGCTGCTTCTCCTCCTCCCTCCCTCCCTCATTCCTCCCCTCCCTCCCTCCCTCCCTCCCTCCCTCCCGTCAAACGAGAGGCTCTCCCTGGGCTGAGGCTGGCTTCACTCCATCCCATCCGCATTGCGTGTCGTGCGTGTGATGTCACATACGTGTTTGACCTCTCATATGCATGGACAGACATGTGGACTGGATGTGGGGGAGTGTCTAGGGAGGGGAGGGGAGGGCGGGGTGGTCAGAAGTGGTGGTGGCGGTGGTTTGGGGGGGTCAGAGTTCGCCCCCCTCTCCGCCGAGGCTACAGTCGCACAGCAGCGGCACTGAGACGGAAACATAAAAAACGAGAGGCAGACGGAGAAAAAGCTGTCTTTGCCGAAATTTTCCAAAAAAAATGGCTTCGGCGTTCGGTCTGAACGTGTTACGTCGAGCAATGACTGTGCCGCCCTCCCCTCCCTCCCCCTACCTCCTCACTGCGCATTCAACTCCCCTCCCTCCCCCCCCAAAACAACAACCTTTTCTATTATTCTTTTTAAAGTCGCTCCCCCTGCCTTTGGCTAACTGCAAGTGACCTACTTGTTTTTGTTTAGCGTTTGCTCAGTGATAAGATAGAATAATAAAAAAGCGTTTTGTTCTTCTGGTTAATTATCACCAGCCTTTGTGGAATAGATGCACAGAGTGCTGGATGCTCTTCTAGCAGCAGAGCACATAATGCAGCTATAAGTGGGGCACTAGAACTGAAATACTTCAATACTGGAGGCCAAGAAGCAAAGACGCAACGAGCAACTCACCGAAAGCACCATAACAGCACTTCTGTTATCGGGCATATTATTCTCACATAAGAGAAACTCTGAGCAGCGTCTTTCATCAGCGCTGCGATGACAGCTGCTTATGTTAGTTCCACGTTTAATGAAGCATGCAACAATTAACATGAAATTACGGCAGCCAGAAAAGGTTACATGCTTTCAGTTGTGACACGCTCGGTCACAGCATTGTCTCATCAGCTCAGGTTAACGATCAAAACTGATTAGATCGACGAGAAGTGGCGATGTTTTTTTATTTTATTTTGCCCGCTCGTCGCTTTTTAAAGAATTAAAAAAACAAGGTGTAAATACAGGTGTCACCGCGAGCACATGCAAATATAATTACGGCAATTCAGAATGTCAAATATAATTGGCTCCGTTCGAATTTTTGCAAGTTGCAGATCTGAAACAATTACAGCTTGTTCCAAAAAAAGTATTCCACCATTATTTTCTCCCTTGAAATCCATGACTTCCTTGTTTTGTTCTTTTTACTTTTGTCTTGCACTGTTGAAATTGCCCCATCCATCCACTCGACATCCCCCCTCCCCCCCCTTGACGAGGCTTTCTACCTGTAGGCGGTTTGGACTGAGGAGGCATGTGATCTTGCCCTGTAGCGTAGCTCTAAAAAAAAAAAAAACAACTGTATCAGGTTCTCATGCTGTATTGTTGCTTATCCCCTCTCTCCTCTCTCTTCTCCTCTCTTTCTCTTTACATACATAACCTCTTATGTATCTGCTATCTAAAAAGTGCCCATTAATGGTAAGTTTTCCCAAGTGGGCCCTGGGTTTGGGGGAAGGAGGTGGTGTTTTACTCAGAGAGCAGGCCTGACAGTGAGAGGCTGCTTCTGACATGGACATTACGACATTTCTTGCATGACCAGTGGACATGTTAGCATTTCACCACCCTCCGTACCGTGCCACCAAGCCACCATTAGCCTAGCATGGTCAAAGTATGTACAGTGCCCCATGGCAGCATCACCCCATGCATTCTCCTCCCATCTCCGCTCCCCTCCTGGGTTGTTGTTTTTTTATTATTATTATTCTTTCCTTTTAGGTATGATTTTCTTTTTTTGTTTAAATATTTTTGGGGACGACCGGGTGGCGGGGGTTTGACTCCACGCTGTGTCTGTGTGATGCTTCCGACGGTGCCTGCTGCAACATGCTCACTGTGGCCCACCGCACCCCCTCACATCCTCCTCCTCCATGTTTCTGGACACCCTCCATCGTCCGCTGGCTCCCCCACAGCATCTGTGCCTCATGTCTGCCACTGACTGGATTACAGTATGGAAGAGCTGGAGTGGACTTGCTCACTTGCAAAAATCTGAGCTGCAGCCCAAACCAGCATACTGTACCGCCAGTGAAAAAAAAAGTTGTTTTACAGCATCCTTATGTGGAATTTAACAATCGCTCTTCTGCTGAGGGCCACTGGTGCATTTTATTCTGACAGTAGCCATATTAAATGCTCATAGTGAAAGTGCAGTTCTTAAAGAGCCTTGTTCTTTAATGGCTCGGTACAGTAGGCCTCTGATGTTACAGCCACACATTGAGACAGATGGACGTGAACCTTCTCACCACATGACTCATCCTATTACTCAATGATGTTGTGTTGTTATGACCATCCATAACAAACAGATTACTAGCAGAGAGTTGTTTGTCAATCTGGAGGGTGGTGACATAATGCTTAACAGTAAATGAGATAATGTGCCATCTGTCAATGGCAACAGTTGTGAGATATGATCCGATGGAGGTCCGACAGCACCTGATCCGAGAACTTAACCGAGTTTTATTCGACGACAAACTCATAAAATACAACCGACATTTACTGCTGCAAGCATCATGTCACCCGTATGTGTCTTATAACGTTCTGCTAATGAGTCACATGAGGTTCGCTCCTAACTCTCCATCCTGACCTGCCCTGGCCTTGTGTCTGCGTTTGTGTCCCCGCAGACGAGAGCCAGAACATGGGCAGCGACACCAGCAGCCTGGTGCAGTCGCACACTCACTCCCTGAGGAAGCGGGAGCCGGTGGACGTGCCGTACCAGACGGGTCAGCTGCACCCGGCGATCCGCGTGGCCGACCTCCTGCAGCACATCACCCAGATGAAGTGCGCCGAGGGCTACGGCTTCAAGGAGGAGTACGAGGTAGGACGCCGCCCCTGCCGTCCTCCCCGCTGCCTGTGAAGGTCGCAAAACACAAATAAAGCCCGGTGATGGACTTGTAACATCACCATGGAGATTGTGGAGTGGAGATGTTGATCAATCTAAAACGAGGCTTCATCTGTGTTTCTCTCTCTGTGTCTGTCTCTTGCTCTTTCTGTCTGCCTCTCCGTCTGTTTTGCACTGCACAGCAGAACTGTTTTGTTTCTCCCCAGATGCACTTTTATGATAAATTGTTAATGTACCCCGTCTCAGTGTGTTTACGGTGTGATTCGTTTTGTTGTTCATCTGTTCCGTGTTGTTCCCCCCCCCCTCGGAGACTCAGCTACAGACCAACATGAAATGCCAAAAAAGAAATAAATAAATCCCCTGTCCCGCCACGTACCACGTGTTCGCCCTCGTCCCCTCCTTTATCTGTATCGGGCCCGATTAGACACCGGCGACGGCGGCCCGCTGCTCTCTCAAGACTGTTGTCACACAACAGCACGGCAGCGTAATGTGACACCGGGCCTCTCGCTGACACCAAAACAAAAGATTTCCCCCCAGAAGAGCATCACTCTCATTTCCCCTCATTAGTGCGGGAGGCTGGCAGGGCTTGGCGGCACTCCAGCCTCCTCGCAATCCCTCAGCACAACACCAGGCAGCCTCGTCTCACCCTGACGCCAGGTTGGAACAGACTGGCTCCGAGCTATATTTAATAAATCCCTCTTTTGAAACATCTAATGTGCATCACTTGCATCTTTCTATCTCTTGTCGCCCTCCATCTTTTCACTGATAGTGCTGCCACTTTTTTCATACTTACAAACTCTTTACTTATCACCTTTCTTTATCTCCTTTCCTTATCAAGATCAAACATCCTCCTCTTCTCTTTTCTCAACTTTCATCAGATCTCTCTCTCCGTCCTCTCGGCTCATATCCTTTCCCTCTTTTGTGCTCTCTCTCTCTCTCTCTTAATGTCTTTCCCTGTAACTCACTTATCCACACCTCCCGCACTCCTCTCCTGCTTTCCTTTTCCCGCTCTTCATCTTCCACCCCGCTTAGTCTCACTATGTGCGAGCCACATTTATCAGTAATTAACTCCCCACTTCCCCCTCGTGACTGCAGAGTTAAATAATGCAGCCTCCCATTGCTACCTGCTGCATGAGATCATTGAAGGGCTGGAGTGCTTTGGGCTGCCCTCCGGGCCTAATCCATTATGGATAAAGGTGTTTTGGGTTCACGCGACCGGCGTCGTACAAACGCTTAACAGTCAATCAAGCAGAAGCAATGCCACAACCAGCGATTGGCCCCTGCCCCTTTCGCCGTGCTGTCACCTATAGCTGTCCAACAGAAAAAAAAGGGCCTGTGAGATGCTTGAAGTTTGTGACGGAGCTCATTCTCTCTCGGCTGGAGCGATGAGTTTGTATGTTGTGTTCCTCTGCTGTCTTCTCTACATCAATCTGTCTTACGGTTAATGCCCTTTTGAACCGTTTTCTGATTTCTGATGATAAGACTTTGGAGCCTCGTGCACCTCTCAACCTGTTAACTTACCCTGTACTATATCTCTCTCTGACCCATGCTTCTTGTTATTCTGTACGTTAACTTTGGATCAGATAAACGAGGTAAGCCAATACTTTTGGTTATTTGTGAGTTTTTTATTATTATTTTAGACTTGCAGATGATATCTCAAACCTGACAGATTGATTGTGCTTGTTGGCTGAATGTAAGGCCCTGTGGGATTCAAAAGAACCGTCTCACGTATACTGATCTGACCTGAAAAAGGGCATTTACCAACAGAAGCTATGCAAAGTTACCAAACTATCTGACAGTGTACAGATGATGCAATGTGTTCAACAGTGACATTTTGTTTTTCCTTTTAACTCTTGTCCTGTCTTGTCTTGAGAATGTCACTGTGAAATGTTTTCCCTTGATCAGGAAGTGTGAGATCCACAAACGCTTCACAGCTCACAGTGATTCAGATGTTGCTTTACAAAGCTTTTCAAAAGAATATTTAAAAGGATATGCAGCCAGTTACTCCGAAAAAAAGAAAAACATGAAATCTGAATGGTTTGGAAAAAATAATACAGTTTATACTCACAAATTTAATTATTTATGTAACCAAACTTTTCAAAAGCTTTGTAAAGCCATACTTCATATAAACTCAAACATAATATATTTTGCATGTCTAAGTTTTCAACAGAAAACAACTTTCCAAGTTTTCAGTTGTGTGGCGTCCAACCTGACATTCATTAAGCTCCAACCACGAACGAGCGCTAGTCTAGTTTGAATGAGTTTCCTTTTCTCACACGCCAAACGATTTAATTCATTTATTCCCCAACAAAATTACAAAAAACAATTATTGCTGTTACCACCCCTCGTATTTTTATTTTCTTACTTTTCCATGGTGTGTATGCCGAAAGCTCTGTTGTTGCCATATGTAGGTTTTTCCTGGTTGTTTGCAGAGAAAGTGATGTGCAACGCAGACAAACTGTGCTGGGACCTGAGTACAGCAGGTAGTCTGTAATTAAAAGCACACCAAGTTGGATCTGGGCCAATGGGAATAATTTGTGGATGGTGAACGACTTCCCGCAGATGCACTGAGAAAAACACTGTAAAATACATCACAGGTCTTTTTCTTCAGAATAGTTTTTACATGCGGAGCCATCCGTTGTTTTTTTCCGTCTCTGTCAGGTAACCAATTATTCCCAGTGTGGGTGTGTAGCCGTTAAATTCACATTTCTCTCTGTTTGGACAGAAACTACTTCACCATAATAACGTTTCTCTGAATTTAGAATTCAAACAGCTGGATGAACGAGGCTGTAGCCTCCGAGACAGGCAGGGTCACTGGGTTCAAGAGAAAGCGATTATAAAGTTGCCAGGTAACGCCTTTCAGATTGAGGACGATTCGTCATCAGAAGCTTGATATTAGACTCGTATCCTTCAGAGTGACAGAGAGAACGACATTGGCCTGTGCATTTACTGCAGGCATACAGGAGGAGAGGCTTATATAATGTATCCCTGAGACAAGCTTCCATCTTCGCCGGAAGGATGTGACGTATCTTTAGCATATAAAAGCTGTTTCTCAGTGAAATCACTAATCCTTAGGACTTAATATGGGAATATGTCCTTGTGAGGTGTCTGAAAGGCCTTTATTTGCGAGACAAATGGCCCGCTGGCTGCCACGGCGCTGAGACGAATGAAACCATCAAGTCCGAGAGCGGCGATGATTGACGACAGAGTGTCCGGCTCCCTCAGACGGGCGAACCACACCGAAGGAACTCTCCAAACAATCCGTCTAACCTTCCATCAACGCTCTCAGATCCTTATTTGCAGACGGCCCGCATTCTAATGCATTAGCTGACTTTTCAAATGTGCATTAGCCGACTATCAAAAAGCCAGAACAATAGGTTGTTTTTGTCCAGACCAGTCTGCTCGGAGCCAGCCCCTCCCGGCCCTGCCGAACAGCGGTGGACTGGCAGTGGAGATGTATTTTCATAATTTGGCTTAATTGTGCCTGGTGTGCCATCAGAATGGAAATCTCCCCAGCGAGAGATGATAAATATTTCATGAGCGTAATCTGAGCGGAGCAGTTTTTGATCTGCAGACGATGAGCTGGCTTTATTTTTCCCCACGACGAGCTGATTGAGTCCTTCAGAAGAGGCAGACTGACAGCCGCCGCAGTGGTTCCGCCCGGCGGAGTGTCGCAGGGGGAACGGTTTGAGCGTGACTCCCGCTGCCTCTGCCCTAATGGCACTTGCTGTTTGACACAGCTTCCTCCCTCCTCCCTGTGTTTCACGTCTCATAATGATGCGAATATCTCTCTGTCTGCGTCTTGCTTTTCTGTTGCAATGTTCCCTTCCTCTTTTTTTTTTAGAGCTGAAAGAGGAAGACTGTGTCCTTTAGTCTGGTTATCATTTACAGTGCTCACACATGACACCATATTTCATATCCCCCCCTCTCTGTTCTCTGTTTTCTCTCTTTTCAGAGCTTTTTTGAAGGACAGTCGGCGCCATGGGACTCTGCCAAGAAGGATGAGAACCGCATGAAGAACCGATATGGGAATATTATTGCATGTGTGTACAAAGCACCTCCTCAGCGCTCATGAATTTTTGTTCCCATTCTTCTGTCTGATTTATTGGCCAGTCGTGTGACTCTGGATAACTATAAGCTGCTCAAACAGAGTTTTATTATCAGCCAACAAGAGCAGCTTTGACCTTTCCAATCTACTTTTATATTCATCTTCCCGCAGCGTCTTTTAAGTTATGAGAAATAAGCCGCGCAGCATATGGCACATAACATGTAGCCTCTGCGGTGTTTATAAAAATGTAAAATTTTATTGCGCTGATATTAGGTCTTTAAACTTGAGCTGAGCTGTGATGCAGATTTGCCAATTAATGCTCAAAAGTAATTTTGACCCTCAACTGCAAAACCTTGAAGGTCAACTTTTGATTTCCTCATCACTGATTTACTTTAAAGGTATATTTCACATTCAATGTAGAATGCTGACTGAAAATGTTTATTTGGATTTCACTATGTCTACAAATCCACCATAATCACTCTATGGCCTTATTCAAATTACATCTGTTCTGGTTTATTTTAATACTTTTGCATCATTTTCACATATTAACCATTGAAGGAAGCTTCTAAAATCCCAAAAATCCAGTTTATTTAAACATGAATTGCAATAAGAGTGAATACGTCCGCCAAGGGTCTCCAATCCCTTTACATTAAAACATTACAGCTCAGGCCACATTACGTTTCTCAGCTACACATTAGTGATAGTTACAGGTTATTTGTTACTGAACAGCGGCTGGAAAAAGCAGAAGCCATTAAACCACATTTAAATCAGATTTAAACCAGATTTTTATCTGGATATGCTCTCATTGATAATAATAATATTATGGGAAATCAAAAAGCCAAAATTCTTCCCTGGTCCATAACACGTCCTTCCAACAAGTTTGATTGTAATCCGTCCTGTAGTTGTTGCTGCTGACTATCAACTATCAACGACAGCAGCATCATTGTGTCACATGACTGCAGCCATGTTTTGTCTTTTTTAATTAAGCCACTCTTGAATACCAGTCTGGTTGTCCTCCCAGTCGTCCGTCACCACTTCCTCTCTGTGTTTTACTGTCTCTGTGTCCCTCTCCCTCCGTTTCTTCTGCTGATGTCCTTGTTAATATGATTAATTCAGTGCTGGTTTCTTCCTCTCCGCCTCTCTTCCAGATGATCACTCCCGTGTCAGGCTGCAGGCCCTGGAGGGGGAACAGAGCTCCGATTACATTAATGCAAATTACGTTGATGTAAGTACACACACCGACCGCGCCACCAATGCAAAGGTCACTGCGCTTCCTCTCAGGGAGGGAGAGGGCGCTGGTGCCGTCGTCACGGGGGGCCTTAGGGACAAAGCATCCCCCCGCCGCCCGCCCGCCCATCACACACACACACACACACACAGAGCCACACTCAAACACGCACACGTTGCCTTTTTCTTCAACTTTAGAGGGCTGCCGTACCACTGTATTCTTTGGATATATTAAGAGGAATAAGCATCAGAGAGTGACAGCGCCTGGTGGGAGTAAAGAGACACCAGTCGACTCGGGAAACTGAGGTCATCGTTTGCTTTGAACAACATTTTGAAAAAAAATGAGCAGAGAAGTTGATGCACAAAGAAATTTTACCTTGAAAATAAAGTTTAAAAGCAAAGACACAGAACAACGAAAGTAATTGTTCTGCTGCTTCAATATTTTTTTTAAATGTTCTTATCAGATAAGATTCAACAACTCCTCATACCTCATTGATTCATGAATTCATCTTCTACATGTTATTTGGTCTCTTGTTGTCACTTCGTTGTCTTTCCAAGTTCATACTAAGACACTAATTCTACACAGGTACAGCTACATGACTTGAGTGCAGTGACCACAGGTTCGACCGACCGGGCCTTTTGTCAAACCATCCACCTCCCATCTCCTTCTTTACATGATTTGCTGCAAAAATAAGTCACACTACTGTCGCCTTACTGCAGAGAAGACCGTCATTGAGCCAGTTAATTCTCTCTCCACAGTCACCAAAGTGCTGCTCGTTGTGGAAACTGTTGGGTTTCACATCAATTTATCATTTTTAAGCTCTTGATCTCACTATTTGAAGGGCCTTGAGATAATGTATATTATAATTTGGTGCTACACAAATACAATTTAACTGACTTAAATAGAATGGTAGAGGTTTCTTCTTCTTCAGAGGGGATTTTGGTGGAAGTACAGTGATGCTGGAAACATCAGCATCACTCTACTTCATCTAAACACGGCAGCTTCCTCCTCCGCTACAGGAAAACCTCTTCTATAGAATCAAAAGAGATGCAACAGTTAAACGCCCATGCAGTCGTTTAGTTACACTTCTTACCACAGGAGAGCACTTGCAGCTCAGCTTTTACATGCACTTTGGTGACTTTAGCATTAGCTTTACAGTGAGTAAAAGTCATTAAAAAGTGGCGTGAGACATGCCTCCTGTTAAAAACAGATCTCTCACTCCACTCAGACAATATGGAACCCCCTGATCTGACCTGATTTGCTGTTAATAGCAGTGTTAGTAGCAGGATGTGACCAATCAGAGCAGCTCATTGGCCTCTTTGAGCAGATGCTTCCACTCCATGTGTAATGGGCTGGTGATGTACCTGACTCCCTAAGTGGTTTTCTGCTCAGGAGAGAACTCGCTCTCTCTCCCTCCGTCTCCCCGCATCTCTTCACCCCCCCCGCCCGTCCCTCTAATGTGGTAATTTGTAATCTCTTGTTACGCCTTCAAACATAAATTCATAATGCAAGGTGTGCCACAGTAAATGCAGGCGGCTTAAATTATTTACCTTTCCCACTATTCGGTTTATGGTCCATTATGCTGCGAATAGGGACGCTGCGGAGAAGACTCTCACAATAGAGAGGGCCCCATTATAAGATAAGAATATACGCATATTAAAAAGGGCCCTGATTGAAAAGGATTTCCACTGCTCTGCCAGCTTCATTGGAAAAGTACTTAGTAGAAATGCAGGCAGATGGGTAATGATGTTTTTGCTCTTCAGAAAGCTTTTTAACCCATCTGAAAGCTTGTCCTGCCCAATAAACTCTTATACGTGGAACATTTCCCACAGTGTTTGTTATTGTACTCTATTATACTGCCGATTATTTCCAGTCATGTTCGAGTAAGCAGAGCCGGCCGGGTGTGTTTCTCTTCTGCGCAGCTGATTGAGTATTTTCATAAGCATTGAGGAGGCAAGGAAACATATTTTAATGGCCTGTCGCCTGCAGAGTTCTGTTTGTGCGCACATCGGGCTTGAGGAGTTTTGCTGGGGTTGTGCACTTTAAACTCAAGTAATGTATTGATTCGATGAAATTGCAAAGATGCACAGAAACAATGTCACTCAGGTTCCCTCAGTCGCGTAGATATCACAAATTTAAATCACATTTTTCAGGATAATGAGTTGATGTATTTTACTTTTTGTTTTGCTCATAGTGGCATAGCCATTGTAGTGGTTTGGTTTTGGCATCTTAAATCACTTTCGGGAATGATTTAGGATTCGGTCAAACAGGGGTTCTGTCGACTTTGTCAATATTCAACCAAAACCACAGCCTGAAACTAACAACACCTGGGACTCAAACCTCCTTCTCCCACTTTGTGAATCCAACCATCCATCCTTACAGCTGGATTAATCCAGCATGGAGCCCTGGGGCAAAACTGAACAGTGGGCCCCTCCCGACCTGCTGCTTGGTTAAACACAATTTTATTGAGGAATATGCAAAGTCAGGCACACAGCACACTGCAGCAGTGGTAAATAGGCTTTTTGGTTTCTGGAAAAAAACTACAACTAAAATAAGTCAGAAAAAATAAAAATGGCAACTAAAGAATATATATATATATGTTTATTGCATAAAATTAAAATGACCACAAAGCAACTGATGCACAAACCTACCCTGAAGGTCCAGGCCCTCAGGGCAGTTACACACTTCATCATGGTCGAGATGTCAGATTAACATTTCTAAGGATGTTGAGTTTTGGGTCAGAAAGTAATAAAGACAGCACTTACTCTTTATTTTCTTCTAAATGCATTTGGCAAAGCACATCATTAGTATTTAAATGCATTTTCCAGGTGGTTTGTGTTTGGCCCCCGATCTGCAGAAGTGAGCCGTCTAATGAAATGATATTCAGGCTGAAAATACAAATTCATGCCCGGGGGCAGAAGCACTCCAAGCTGCATATTTTAGACATTCAGCACCCCACTGTTACTGGAAAGAATTAATGTAAATGATGATTGTAATAAGCAATGTAGCAAAGAAAGAAAAAAAAAAAGAGCAGAACTCAATTCCACTGGTAATTTACACATCCCTGGAAACAAAGCCTGCTCAATTAATAATTTCAACATTGACATTTCTGCATTTATCTCTTTGTGTGGCAGAAACACACTGATGCACTGAATGTAACATGCTTATTAAAAGCTGCAAGTTCATTTATAGTAAGCTCTACTCACCTGACAGTCACTGTCAGGGCCCCTCCTTTCTTTCTGTCTCTCCCTCTCTAATCCGACGGCGTACTGGGCCTCCACTCTACTTGACAGAACATACATGAAAGCACAAACAAATCTCCTACTCAGTCCAGAGATAAAGAAGTCATTAAATATGGAGGACAGCTGAATAGCTGAAGGAGCCCCGTGGATGAGAGAGAGGGAGAGAGTGAGGGAAAATATCCTTTGTGTCTTCCTCCCTTCATTGCAGAAGCGTTAATCACGGTCCAAGTTAAATTGAATATGAGTGAGATAAGCAGAGCAGCAGGGGTGGGTGGGGAGTTTGGAGCAGAGGGGGGGGCAATCAAGAGGAGGCAGGACTGGGGGAAGAGCCTTTAAGTCCTAATGTTTTGTTTCCTGCCTCATATCTCTGGAGAGAAGACAAGGAATTGGACAAATAAAAACTTGAAGGGATTAGAGTAATCCCAGAGACTAGAGGCCTGTTGTGAAGATCTGTGCTGTTAGTCGTATCTGGAGGGATTATCACCACTTTGGCTGCTTATTCCAGAGGTGTGCCGCATATGGAGAGCGTGATGGAGAGTGTTTGTGCATCTTGCATGCAGCAGCATCCATCACGAGCCGGCTGATCTTGAAACAAAGACGTGAAGGGGTGCACAGTACAGTAGCTGGTTAGCCTCATTGTGCACAGTGATTCTTGAGCAGCAAACAATTCCTCAGCAGTGAGTTCGTTCTGGCTGCAGAAAAGAGGAAGACGTCTGAGACAGCAGCTACTGTGAGATGATAGGAGCACTGGGATTCAGTTTCAATGTGTTCTGTTCAGTATCATGTAAATGTGGGGCAGTGGTTAGTAGTTTCACCTCTCAGCAAGAGTGTTCAAATCCCATTCAGTGTGAAGTTTGCATGTTCACTCTGTCTTTTCTCCCTCAGTCCAAAGACAATTGTAAACTCAAAGTTCAAATCTGTTATCAACATCAATAACATCCTGAGATCTGACCCTTAGTATTTATACATTGATTTGTTTGCAGCCACCAACACAATATCAACACTGAGCACCACACAGTGATGGACGCTCTTCTTAAATGGGTAAAATCTTCCTGCACAGCTGCTGGAAGCTGCATTCATTCATTCATTCATTCATTCAGTTCCCTCTGACTCTCTTGCTCATGCAGACTTAAACCTTGTCATCGCTTCTCTCCATTTACACGTGATCGATTGCATATAGGGTGAAGAAGTGAGATCAGAGGAGAAACATTGAGGATGCATTTTAATACGTGGTGTGAACACACGTACTTGTGATCTGATCCCTCAGGACAGATGTTAATACCTGGTCTGAACTTGCCTAAATTGTCTATAGGTGTAAATGTGGGTGTTAATGTGGTTGTTAGTCTCTGTATGTTGGTCCTGCTACAGCTGGTGACCCATTAAGGAAGAACCCCGCCTCTTGCCCAGTGTTGGCTCGGGCAGATGATGGAAGGAAAATTTGAAAAAAGTGTTCAACTTTACTCTCAGAAAACTAGATATCAAAGTCAGGGTGTTTTCTAAGAGGACTCATCCTTCATGAGTAGGAGGAAAGTGATGTGACATTACTATTCTTTTCTCTTTTTTTTCCAGGGCTATCACAGGCCGAACCACTACATCGCGACTCAAGGTAAGAATAAAACTTTCTTAAAAATAAGCGAGGTCATCTGACCTGGAATGTGTGGGTGGTGACAATAAGGGTGTCTGTTTCAGGGGGGGGGGGGTTGAATATGTCTCTAAACAACCACATCTCTGTTTAAACACGCTCTCGCAAACTACTCTTTGATGCTCAGTCAACTGTGTGTTCGGGGAATCTGTTGCCGCTCAGTGGACACACACACACACATGCAAACGACACACACAAACACAGGCAACTCCGAGCACAGCCCCTTTCTCTCCGTCTCCTCGCTCGTTCTCTCTGTCCGTGGTGAGGGAGCGATTAATCAGACAGTCTGGGAGAAAGCTGAATAAATAAATGGATTAGCTGACATGTACAGGCACATTTTGTCACTGTGTTAATCTGGCAGGCAGATTCGCAGAGCCAGGAGTACTTACCACGACCCCAGAGGTTAAGTCTGATTGATGGTTAATTGTTATGAATTTTGCGTGGAGGGCTTTACTCCCCCACAAGAGGTCTGCGTGCATGGGGATGCTGCGTACCACTCTAGTGAAGATAAAAAAAAATCAGTGAAGGGAAGAAAAAAAGGAAGAGGCGTGTTTTTTTTTTTTGAGGAGAGGCCTTAATGGATTCACAATCTGCTTTGGTGGAGCTGGGAGTTGCATAATTACCTGTTTATTAGTGCGTCGCTTCTCTTCCTCAGTGTCTCAATTAAAACAACCCTCTGTTTGCTCTTAAATCAGAAGGAGAAGGCATACCAATCAGGCAGCGGCCACTCACTGGGTCTGTCTCACTGTATACGCACAGCTCCGGCTCTAAACTGACCGCCGAGGCTCCGAAACAAAGCCGTCTGTCAAGTGCCCACTCTCTCCTGCGGGGGGGGCTTCACTTCACTAAAACACGGCGCTTAAACATTCACCCCTGAAAGGATTTCAACCGGACTATTATGATTCTTCTAATTGTCCTCCAGTCATTAAGAGCATTCTTATATTTCATTTAAAAATATGCACATGGAGATCAGCAGTCAGAGAAACGGTGCAAACAGAAGCTTCTCTTTGAGATGAAAAGCTCAAGAAGCCAAACATGTTTCCATTCAAGTTAATTAGCCCCTGCTTCCTCATTCAGCTTGCATAATAAGTCCTCATTTTCCATTGACTGTATCGCAAGAGCGATAAGGCTTTTCAGTGTGTAGAGCCATCCAGCATGAAACGTGTGTGTGTGTGTGTGTGTGTGCAAACATCTGTATTCTCTGGGAGAGCGGGCCCTTTTATAATTCATCATCAGCTCCGGCAGACTGACAGGAAGGAAGGCTCACTCTGCTGACACCAAGGCAAAGAGCAGCTAGAGATGATAGGAGCACCAGACACAGACCTGTCTCTCTCAGTCAGACAAACTGCATAGCGTAGCACCTGAAAAGAGCACCTGGGCATTGGCACCACTGCTGGAAATGAGGAAGTAGTCTGTTTTCTCTCTCCCTCTCTTCCCCCCCCCATCCACTCAGTAAAGTTTTTCAGTGAGTGACACTTTCCACTCCAAGTCCACCGGGACCATCGGGTGGCTCAGAAAATGATGAGGCCCACAATAGTGCTGGATAAGCTAAAAAAAAATTCTTTGTCATAAATTGGTTGTGAGGGGGGTGGTGGAGGGGGTGCTTAATATGGCAGGCATGTGGGACGACGTCGTCCCCGCTCTCTTACGCTATAAACTACAATGACACTCATTAGTTTGGGGTTTATTGACGAGTCCCTTTGCTCTGTCAAGGTGAGGATGGCAGGTAGAACAGCTGTCACTCCATAAAAGCCTCATCACCCAAGCTCTGCTCGTCATTATGTAGGTCATTCTCTCATCCAGGACTTTTCTGCTGCAGAGATACAAGAACTGCGTAATTCACCGACGCTAGCAGCAGCTCACCTACTTAGCAGATTGAGTACGTGCGTGTGGAGCAGCCCTCCCAGTTCGCCGCTCTACCTCTGTCCATTTTAATGTCCTGCGGATTGTTTGAATACAGATCAGACTCTAGCTTTATACCGCTGGAGTCCGTGAATTACGCCGAAGTCTGGGTGCAAACGGCTCCGATAAGTCCCAGCATCCTCCTGGTGATGTGGAAAATATTCATGATGCAGGAAAGGGCTCAATTTCATCAAGCTTTCCCCTCCAGTCCTCTCCGCTCTTCCCTCCTCCTCCTCCTTCACAAGTGGCAAATGTCACCAGCAGCGCCAAACTTTTATTATTTACAGGTTAACATCTCAAACCCCAGTGGGGACTGATGGAGGGGGGTTGGCAGATAGAAAGAGAGGAGCAAATCAATGATAAGTGAGTGTACATTATGCCAAAGTCTGCTGCATGTAATATTAATGGGCAAGAGGGGAAAACAGCCAGTGTTTGTTTGCGGAGTGTGTACGCACGCACGATCATCAAGAGTTTTGTGGCGTACCTGGCTGAGGGAATTCTGCAGCTGTCACACTCCTCGCTGCTAAAGGAGGAACAGGCCTAGTCCCAAAACGCAGCGTTTGGCTGCAGCAGCATTAGCTCTCTGACAGCTGGAAGTGAAGCTCCTACTGCTGTTCCTTCCTCTGTGAAGTGCCTCCTCCAAACTTCTTCAACTAGGCTCCAGGCACGCCGCACGGGAAACGCTGCTCCCACCTTGTAGCTCCTCAAGTGAGCTCTCCAACCGATTCCTCTCCAGTAACCCAAGACTGTGACGCTGGAAGCAGCCACTCAGCAAGGCTCAGTGCAAAGATGGATGATGACTTTGATACATGTTGATTTGTGAGGAGGTTTTCACCCCTGTTTGTTTGTTAGTAGGGATTAATTACGATGCTTGGTTGAAGGATGCATTATGGGTCAAAGAAGAAGCCATTCAGTTTTGGTGCAGATGCTGATCAGGGGGGCTGATTCTGAAAATTCTTTCTTTAACACTGTGGGATAGGTTTTCAACATTTTCCTTGATTACTTCGTCATTAATTTGCAGATCTTGATTAAAGACATCAGGCCCATCTAGTGAATTTAAAAGTGGTCTCATAAGGGAACTGTTGGGCCTTTGCATTCTAGTATCTTTAGTTTTAATTTTCTAAAGAAAGAGATTTACCAATATTATTAAAGTAAATCTGAGGCTCTGCAGCGTCCACAGGTCCGAATCGTACCTGAAAAGATTTTCCAATGCCTGTTTACATAGTAGTAGTTTCCAAGTGGCTCCCATAACATCCTCGATGGTCCCTGTCGTCAGGAAACTTAGATATGTTGAGGAAAGCATCGTGATCACAATTAAAAGAAATCAATCGAGCCTGTTGGCAGGAGACTGGATGTGAACAGATGTCTCCAATGTCAAAGTCACACACTCTGTTCACCCAACCAGCCCTTATGTCCACAATAAGTTTTATGGTGCCATTACAACAATATACTTCCTGAAAGTCATTATTTACACGACCATACAGAGGACGCTAGTTTCAAGAGTCTGAACAAACAAAGACTAGGTTTGTTTTGAGTGGGCTTCCACTACAGGCAACTGGCAACCCACTGTGATGTCACTTACTGGTTCCTGACCTGTCGTTTTTAAGGCCTCGAGTCAGGCATTTGTCCAGCACCATCTTGTTTTATTTTTATCAGACATTAGGTGGAGGACACACCTACACCCATTGGACGATGCTAACACCTCGAAGCATTCCGCATTTACCAAATGGACATCTTGCGATTCTTAACATCCTTAAGATCTGACGTAATAAAGTAAAGACAAGTAGCCTGCATTATATATATGCATTATATATATGCATTTATATACAGTCTGTGTTTACTACTTAATAACGGCAGTGGGGGAAGTGTCAACTTTTAGATCCACGGAGAGTTGATTCCAAACTTATCTTAGAATTATTATTATCGACCTCCTTCTGTCACCAAAAGTTCCAGCTGAACTGAGATGAAACAGTTTGTGGCTGAAATGTCTTTGTTCTGAGCCACATATTCATCAGCAGCCATAATCACTTCCTTTGCAGTGTCATCAGGTTCAGTGCTGCCCGGCACCTCCTCCTCACCTATTCTCCATCTCTGCGTGCATATGGAAGTGTAAATTGGCCGACTGAAGTCTGGCATGAGCCTCCCATTGGATGATTTACCATACAATGCCAAGTGTTATTGTGTTACTGAAGTCCTACACACCAGCTGTCCTGCTTCTCAGTCTCCCTCTCCCAAACTTCTCGGCAGTGTGCATCCTTCCTCGGGGGATGAGTGTAGGAGGCAGCAGCGTGGGCGGCTCAATCAGGTTGGGTGGTGACGGGAGAGAATGGAAGTGACTGGAATTGGAGCTCGAGGTCCTACAGTTAGAAATCGAGACAAACCACCAGCACATGCGAAGCAGAGGAAGTGAGGGAAAACAAACTTAAGATACTGAGGAAATTTGTTCCAAATTTCTAGAGATCCAATTGGAAAAATAAAAAAAAAAACTAATATACGCTGCAAAAAGCGAGGTGTGTGAACAGGCTGCCAGCAGCAGTGGAAACATGATGGTAGAGACGATGGCTCGTGCTCGTGTTCTCTCTCAGCCGAAAGTCTCCTGAATTTAATTGCAGAGTTGGTGCGAAGTAGAAGTGATTTAAACTCACGCATGAGGCTCGACTTGAGCACAATTAGAGGCAAGACAGTCGAGAAGTGTTTATGCACTGCAGAGAGCAGATCAAACATGGCTTGATCAGTCAAGTGAATAAAATGTTGATGACACTTTATTGATGCCCTGAGGGAAATCAGCTTGTTGCAGAAGACGTGTGGCAATGAGGAGCACAAACACGCAGCAAACGCAAAGGGCCACTGCAACTGGTGTCTTGATGTTATCAAACATATACATAAATATGCAATTAAGAGATTGGTCAGTCACAGGAAATGTTCCTGCAGCTCTTCAAAGATTTATCATTTCTTCTTCTTCGTCGCTTCAAAACAGCAGTTGTGCTTTACTGCCATGGAGAAGAAGTGATTTCTGGTCGCGTAGCTTCAGCCAGATCTATTTCAAATTTAAATATATGTTAAAATACGTTGTGCATTTAAGTTGATGGATTTAAATGCACTGGTATTGGGTCGGTACTCGAATCAGCCGTTACAGTGCCGAGTGTCAGGTTATAATCTCCGTGCTGTTAACTGCACGATTATGACTGAATGTCAGCGACCACAGAGCTGAATGAGCCGGTGATTGTGAAGCATGAAGCCAATCAGCTCGCACAAGGCCGACCTCGGAGCATTGATTGTAGTTTTGATGACAACTTCAGTTCTGGAAAAATGTTTCTTTTAAATTCAACATCTTTTATAATCATATTCCCCCAAAAAATGTCATATTGCGTTCTTGAGTAAGACATCGGCCCCGTATTGTTCCTGATGACCGGGTCGTTGACTCGTCTGGTGCCACAGTCGGTGTGTGTGGACGAGTGAAGGCATTGTGAAGCACTCAACCCTGTTTGGAGTTGTAAGGATTCAGTAATGCTCCGTAGCAAATTCTATTTACAACGGGGGCTTTGTGGTAAAGGCACATAACAGAAACTGTGATCGCATCATGTCTGGTTCGATTTCAGTGGTCGTCTCACGCTGTCTCTCCACCTCAAACCTCTCCGCTATCTCACAGAAACAGAAATGCCCCAAAACCGGATGAAAAATCAACTATTCACAGAAATCTTTGTGAGTGAGCGACACGATTTCTTATTTCTTAAAGGTAGATGTTAGTGTGGAATTGGAAATGAAAGCTGAGAAACTAAATGCAAAGAGCAGTGGAAGAAATGCAAAAATAAAAGTGAGTGTTTTGACGTGACCTGTCTCAGGGGCCAAAAGGTTTTTGAATCATTTGTGCATTTATTCATAGGTGACAAGGGACACAAACACTAATCGTTTTCGTCTGAGCCATGTTGTGTTGTAGCTTGTGTCGCTGTGTGTGTCTGCATAATGTGTCATGTCTCCAGGTAATCTGGGCCAACACAGGAGAATGCACAACTGCAGAGATTTGCATTTACTAATTAATTTGTCAGAAGCATTTTTTTCTCTCTCTCTTGCTTCTTGATTAAAACTAATATTAATATTTTTAATTAACCAGAATAATAATTAAATTCCAATCAATCCACAATTATTGCTCAGTGAAGTTTTAAATATTGGAGGCATTGAGTGGCTCTCTGCTCATTTATTTCCAATGTTCACCTGACACATTTGGGTTCGGTTCAGTGGAAAAGTTGGTGATGAGCAGATGAGGTGTAGTGGTAATTACTCTGAGCTTTGACACACACATACACACAGACAGACACACACACACACACAGACAGACAGACAGACAGACACACACACACACACAGAGGCTCCGGCTCTCGCCTCACCTCCGCGTTTGTGATTAATTTGTACTCTTGTTTTCATTTTCATCTGTGTTTAAGCTCTCTGCTGTGGAGTAAGCACTTTGCGATGAATCAGTTGTAGAACGCCCTATAAATAAATCTGACTTGGCGTGTTTTCCGCTGCTCGATCCGAGGAGTAAGAATGGAGGGGAAATTGGTCTATAAACTGCATTGTTGCTGTAATACCTCCAAATCCCCTGTGTTTTTATGTGTGAGCTGATCTGACTGTTAGTCTGCCTCTGTAAACAGAAAAGGAAGCTTTATTGGCTTGATAAAGAAAATGTTGTCACGGTAAAGTAGATTCAAGTGTCCATGCTAAGCTTTTTGGGTTTTTCCCTTTTCTTTTGTGTGTGATATCACTGTTGTGCTGGAGTCACTGGGGAGAAGAATTTGTATTCGGACTATTGCCAATGTATTTGTTTTCATAATTAACCTATATATTTTGATTTGATAATGATTACATTAATGAACAATGTTGTTTTTGTAGAACCTTTCATACAATAAATCCAACAGTCCAGGTACTGTGTAGAACAAACCCTTAGTTTAGAGACAAAATACAGTAATTGTATACTGTATGATCAGAGTTGTGTTACAGTCCAAGGTCCAAAAATGTAAAGAATCCTGAAATTTAATGTCCAAATTTATACAAATTTAGAGTTGAGCAGAGTGCAAACCTTCTCCACGTTTTTCATAGAAATCCGTAAAGTTGTTTTTGTGTAATCCTGCAAACAAACAAACTGACTTTATCACGAGCAGTTAAATATTCTCCTGACATTTCTGCCTGGTGAACAATTTCATAGAGAGAAGTTTTATTTGGCTCTCATCTGAAATTTTATGGGTAAATTAGGGAAAATAAATCTGTGGTAGTGGTAAAATCTCTCTCCCTCCCTGTTTCTCACAGGACCCATGCAGGAGACGGTGTTTGACTTCTGGAGGATGGTCTGGCAGGAGAACACGGCAGCCATCGTCATGGTGACCAACCTGGTGGAAGTAGGCAGGGTGGGTGTTAAATACGTGTTCATCAGGACCGCAGATCTCAAATGAGATTACCTTGCCCCCAGTGGACTGACGGTCTGATTGTATCTCAAGGCAAACGGAGCCATCTTTTTTTAATGTGCGTGTCTTTGAACATCAGTGCCCAAATGTGTGTGTGAGTGTGAGTGTGTGTGTGTGTGGGGCTTAGTGAGGCGTGGGTCTCGCATCCCGCCAGCTCTTTTTCCATCTATCTGATCAGTGAGAAGAGAGAAGAATCTGATTGATGGCCTTCATTACCAGAGAGGCATCCAGGCGACTGACTACTGTTTCATCTGAGTGGCTCTATAACAGCAGATTATACTCCGCTGTAGCCAGCAGCTCCTACCAGGCTCCTCGGAGCAGAAACATCTCTTAATGTTGTGCTCATTGGGGAAAAAAGGGGAGTGTTATTGAGTGTTGTGGGCGCTTCATTATGATCAAACTAATGGCGGAGGCTTGACTTATTTATTTTTTTGCTCGCTTACAGCATGGGGCCTAACTGTAGAAGAGGAAAACCCCACCGCCTTACTTCAGTCCCAATTTGTTCCACTTAACTCTCAGTGTAGTTCCTCCTGGTGAGGTTATAATCAAGAGAAAATGAAGGTTTTAACATACACTGTAATGCTCTTACCGCCGGGGGATTTTCTCTTAAGAATTTTAAACACACTCTCGCTGAAAGCCCCTTAAACTCCAGCACACCTTGATTTCGCTGATGTGCATTTTTGGTGGGGCTTAAATGTAGCAGAGCTGATAATGATTCATGGGCCCATCTCTAGGTACCTCATTAGGCCGTTCCTCTACAGTAGCTGAGCCCAGCCCGCCCCACACCTTCTCCACACCTGCTTAGCTGCGGTGCTGTCCTCGGCGGGCCCCGGCCCCCAAACCGTCTGTTATATGATCCTTGTCCAATGGCGGGCGGTAGGCACAGTTGGTCACAGTGGTGGCGGCTCCACAGAGGGCCCCATAAAATCGCTCCGCCATATCACAGTGGGCCATCTGCTCGGCACAGTTGCTGATGAACTCTGGGAAATCCTGGCACACGCGCAGATACGCACACACAGGCTCCGTCCTGCTGGTTCCGCACTCGGGGGCGGGCGCTCGGTACACTTTGATGTATGAGAGGTTTGGTTTGGAAGGTGTGTGTGCTGATGTGTGTGTGATGAGGTGATGCTACGTGTGCTTCTCTTCCATATATTTTATCCATAAGAGCAGGTGAGTTCAAGAGACGCTCAGCGTATCCACAACGCAAAAGAACATCTGTATATACGTTGGCATAATTCAGCCCAAAGGCTAATTCCCCCGAAACCAGGCTCCTGATTCAGAGTGATCTAATAAGGTAATGGCTTTTGCCTAATTCAATCTGGCTGGAAGCGGACGATGGATTTGTGATTGTCATCGGGGATTAGTCATCGGGGGTGTCGGAGAGAGGGACCTGAAAGTCCCCCTCTGTCTGTGTCACTCCACAAACCAAAATCTCATTTCATTCCTAATCAGTGCAGAGACTCCAGAAATGAAAATTGAATCTAGTTGTGGCTGATGTCGCGTATATCCCTCATCAAAAATTATCATTCTCTGATATACCTCCAAGATCTCCGTCTCATTTAAAGCCTGACTCCCCCAGTATCAACAGTTTAATTGGACGGGGGGGGGGAGATAAGAGGGGAGTGGGGTAAATTTGCACTCTTATGACACCTAATACAAGTAATATTTTCAGTGGGCTGTTTTAGATTCCTGCTGGGAAATCTGCTTTAAACAGCTCAGGGTTCATTATTTCACATTGTTATTAGATCGTCATTATATCTCCCTCATCCAATCCTAGTGCACTTTTTTTTTTTATGTTTTGCCCTATTTCTCTGCACCGGTAGTCAAAATTTTTAAGGAGGAGAAATCTCACACCCCCTCTCTGTCTAATCTGCTTTGTTGCAGGTTTCTTTTACAGTCTACCTTTACACTCATTTTCACATTATCGACGTGAGAATGAAAAAGCAATAATGTGAGAATGAGCTCTCCGTCGATATATAAGATTCCCATTTACAGCAGATCCTTGACCGCGGGCAGAAACTAATACGAAGCAAATCTCATCTTGACTTGAAAGAAGGTCTCGAGAAAGTGAAATATCAGGTGGCAAATGGGAGATAACGTTATGTGACAATTATCTTTTATCGAAGGAAAAAAATGGCACCGCAAGTTGAAGACACTCAAATAATTTGTGTGAGTGAATGTGTGTGCACAGCAAGATAAATTGCAGATGCATAAATACATTGCGGTTAACATACAGAATGTGTGCATGTGGTTCTATAACAGGCTTTTTACTCTCTCAGGTGAAGTGCTGTAAGTACTGGCCTGATGACACTGAGATCTACAGAGACATCAAGGTGACGCTGATAGAGACCGAGCTGTTGTCGGAGTACGTCATCAGGACCTTTGCTGTGGAGAAGGTAAAGTTTCTAACCTTTTTCACAAAGAGACTTTTAACAGCGCACTAACGTTCACAGCGTCAGACGTCGGCACTCTCGAACAGTTCTCAACCTTTGACAGAGCTGAGCTGGAGAAGTCATGGGTCGTGGCTCATAAAGAGGCTGAGTGTTGTTGTTAAGTGGTTGAAAAGAGGGTCATCTTTAAAAGTTTAATGTCACTCGAATAAAAGTTCTGCTCTAGATAAACTTTACCACAAACAGCTTATCAAGGTTAAAACAATGTGACTAAGGCTGCCATGTTTGGTGGGTTTTTTAAAGGAGATGTATTTTGCAGAGACAATATGTAGCTAAGGAAGTACAGCACATACTGGTCACTTTATTTACTGAAAGTTTCCTTGTGTTTAACCTAAAATAATTATTAATTGATGTTGAAAAACAAAGAGTTGGACATTTCGGTCAAAATGACATTTTCAGTGTGATACTGCAACTTGTAATTCAAGTTTATTCTGTGAATCCACTTGCAGAATAAACTTAAATCCCAACTTCCAAAAACTTTAGGAACTTTGATTTATATGTTAAATACATAGTGTCCAAATAATAGATGTAACAACCTGTGTCCGTGGTAGAACCCAGCAGGACTGAGAGGTGCAATGTGGGTAAAGACATAAGTCCACGTCAGTCTTCAACATCTCGTTTGCTGTAAGATAATAGAAACTCTGCTCAAACCGCTTCCTGACTTTGTCCATGAAGTGTGTGTTTGTATTCAATCCAGCTCTGTGTTTGCCTTGTAGTGACCCCTCACATCATGTGTACACTGTGTAACCTCTGTCTTCTCACCACATCTCTGTGTAACACGACCGCTCCGTCCCTCAGAGAGGAGCTCACGAGATCCGGGAGATTCGACAGTTCCACTTCACGGGCTGGCCGGACCACGGCGTCCCCTATCACGCCACGGGGCTGCTGGGGTTCATCAGGAGAGTTAAGTCCAAGACCCTGACCAACGCTGGACCCATGGTGGTTCACTGCAGGTGAGATAATCTATTGAGTGATCAATTAAGGCTATTATGTGCTTTTTATTACAAATTGTATGAATAACCCAGAGTTATCTTACTCATAAGTTGTCTTACTCAGAATCTTCTGTGTTTGTTGATCATCAGCGCCGGGGCCGGTCGGACAGGCTGCTTCATCGTCATCGACATCATGCTGGACATGGCGGAGCGAGAGGGCGTGGTTGATATTTACAACTGTGTGAGGGAGCTGCGCTCTCGGAGGGTCAACATGGTGCAGACTGAGGTACGGCAAATCTGGTGCCGGAGCCGGGCCCGTCCACTGAGGACGCTCAGTAGCACACAGAGGAGTGGGTCAAAGGTGGATTAACTAGTAACGCAGAGTAATTCTTAAGTCCCACTTCTCTGGTGCTCCAGAACAAATGTTTAGAACTAAGAGTAAAGAATGGAGAACTTATATCAAGTACATGTGTCAGTGTTGAGGAGAACAAATCGTTATCTGGATATTTTGCCAGTGTCTGATGACGTCCATTTTAAAATGCAGCATAATTAGTTTAAATGTTTGCTGTCAGTCATTTTCAACCTTTGGTGTGAATGATTACTGAGTACTGTAATAATAATAATAATCTAGTAATGACTGCTGAGTACTCTTGTTAATGTAGTAATGAGTACTACTTACCCAGTGTTCATGTACTAATGCAGTATTATTTACTGCCAGCATGTGGACAGGTGGTGTTGTGATCCTGACACAAGATGGTGACCAGTGTTTATATTTACAGCGGTGGTATTAATGGCTGGAGCACCAGTGTGGATTTTATTGTACATGATGTAGTCGTCAAACTTCCCCCCTTTACTTTTTATTTGATAATTTCTCATTTGCATTGACTGAAGTGCACCCCCTAACTATTCCCCCGGGTGCTAAGCACACGTACTTGGCAGCACATGCCATAATAAAAAGATTTAGAGGCTTGTAACTGACAGTATTTAGCTCATATTGATGGCTGAAAACATCCCTGGCTCATCCCACAGCTTTACGCCAGTGTGGACCACCAAAGGACTTTGTGCTTTTTTGAACACTAGCCATCTGGAGGTGTCCATAGTCTCATTGAATGCATCATTTCCCCGTAATTCCCTTTAAATCACAAGCGTCATTGGACTTAATGGGCAAATGTTTCATCACTGACGTCCGGATTGGGATTTGAGTAACTGGAGACCAAATGTTGTTCACCCTGAGTCACTCTCCTCAAGTTCAGTGACCTTCAAAGTGTGTATGTGTGTGTTTTCCCTCGCAGGTGTTCGGGCTCGTTGGCACGGCTCCTTAGCCTGCGGCCAGACACTAGCTCTCAGACGTGGTTTAATCTGTCTGCGGAAATGAAAAGCCTTGTTGTTGTTGATGGTTTATGAGCTAAGATACGATCTATCAATCTGCGGATTGCGCCTATCGCTATCACCGACCCGCTCACCCAGCCCGGGCCGGTCAAACTCTCGGGTGAACAGTTCACAATCTTCACTGGACTTAACAAATGGCGAAACATCTGTCTGTAAATCTTTAAATCAGTGACCCCTGTGCATGTGTGCGATTTTGGTCCGAAGTGACAGGAGGGTGTCAGCTGAAAATGTCACTTCAGAAGAGATTTGCGTCAAGCCTGCAGCCGTGTCACCACGTCGACTGCTTGACTGACTGATGCGAAGAGGAGGAAATGTGTCGCGATTTCCTGTTTCGCTCTGCAGGACGTTTTAGGACAGCAGGGGTTGTTTTTGTTTTTAAGATATCAACCTCGCTCATGCATTGATCGTGACGATGATCCGGATGAAATCTAAACCTTTCCACACTCACCGGGGTTTGATGGGGTCGTAAAAAAAACCCTGAAAAGGTCAAGGAATTGAAGAAAATGCCTCTTTACCGGCCGCTGAATATTTTAAGGTTTTTAAAATGTCACGAAAATCAGAGTTTTGTAAGAAAATGAAATCAGCTCTGCACCAAAAAATGCAAAAATATGTAATGTAACCTTTGAACATAGACAATGACAAATATTAGTCACAGAAACTGCCTTAGGGGTAAAGAATAATCATGGTAAGGTTGTGGAAAGGTCAGTGAATTCTTCTGGCGAAATGCAGAGGCACACAGGCTCATGTATTTCTGCTGCTGCCGGCATTGTCGTGAAATGTAGAGGTCTGATGGATCCGCAATGAGGATGCTGTTTTTTGCAGGAGCAGTATGTCTTCATCCACGATGCCATTTTGGAAGCATGTCTCTGCGGCGACACCACCATACCGGCCAGTCAGCTCCGCTCCGTCTACTACGACATGAACCGCCTGGACCCGCAGACCAACTCCAGCCCCATTAAGGAGGAGTTCAGGGTGAGGAGACTTTGATATTGAAAGAAAAATAAAAAATCTGTGTATGTGAATCTGTTATTATATTTATCAGGTGCAGGATAAGTTCAGAACAACAGTAAACAGGTTGTCTCTTGATGAATGGCACGGTCCCCCTCTGGGCCAATCAGCAGCAGATATGTCTCTTAAATGTGTAATAGTAGCACCCCTCCTCGGACCAATCAGCGTTATACGAGACGCGTCATGCCCCTAAGTTTCATCACAGTCACATCAGGGGAGTCGCTAACGTAACTGATTAAAGAATTGCATTTTTAATTACTATATCGGGAGATAATTAGCACGCTCCAACACCAGAGTGTCTACCTTCTCGTGTCGGTGTGACAGCCTGTAATTCTGCCTCAACCTCTCAGACTCTGAACATGGTGACTCCCACGCTGCGGGTGGAGGACTGCAGCATCGCCCTGCTGCCCAGGAACCACGAGAAGAACCGCTGCATGGACGTCCTGCCGCCGGACCGCTGCCTCCCCTTCCTGATCACCATCGACGGGGAGAGCTCCAACTACATCAACGCTGCGCTCATGGACGTAAGAGTCGAACCCAGACGGGAACATTTCAAATTTGCCTGTTTTTTTTTTTTTTACTATATGCAGATTCTGATTCCTCTGAACTGCAGCACTGGGATTTTGAAATGGTACTTTGATGCTGACTCATAAGACAGGAAGTTTTGGCTGCTCCTCTCTGTGTGAACGCATCCCGTCACATCTCGTGCTGTGTGTGAACTGTGTGCACGAAAGATAGACTAAACTCTAGAGCGAATCAAACAAACACAAAGTAAACTTCAAATCCAGTATCAGAGAGTCCACGTGTCCTAATAACTTCTGAATAGTGTCGGTGTTCATTGTTAATGTAAACCCGACAGTGGCACTCATTGGTTAGAAAAGTATTACATGAATATATATAAATGTCAGTGACGATACATTTTTGTTTAATTGCCCATCCCCCGTCACAATAACTGAAACAGAAAATGCAACGTACAGCAACTTTCAGGTGATGGAGTTATTCAGGGCGGACCTAACAGAGATCACCTTGACGAGGCACGTGTTGTGTGATGGACTTTTTGGCTCTTGCCTGGATCGAGCAGGTGACCTCAGAGGTGCAGGATCCTCTCAGTTAACATAGGCAACGTTTGGGAGCCAGAAACCACATTAAAAGTGCAGCGTCCTAATAAAATCTCCCCAGACATGAAATCTCCATTAGAAAACAACACTCAGCGAGAGGCGGGTCAAAGGATGGAGGTCATGTTAGAAATGGTTCTAGGTTTATTTTGGGGAGTTTATCAGCTTACAACCTGTGCAATATGCATGTGATGCCTTCAGTGACATGTTTTTAACTCTGCTTTTGTCTCTGTTTTCCTCCAGAGTTATAAGCAGCCCTCTGCCTTCATAGTGACCCAGCACCCGCTGCCAAACACAGTGAAGGACTTCTGGAGATTGGTGCTGGACTACCACTGCACTTCCATAGTAATGCTCAACGACGTTGACCCAGCCCAGGTAAACCCGACCTGATACATGTGCACATTCACTCCTACACAAACAACACAACGATAATCCTCCAGGGATAAGGCAAGAAGCTGATTCGCAAACAGACATACGCAGGAAGCATCCTTTCATCAGAAGCGCTCATCCGATAAAGTCACACAAACGGCGTGGGAACTGGATTCAGAGAAAGATTGCTTTCTCTTTGTTAGAGTGTGAACCCGCGGATATATCTGCAACCGCAAACACATATCCACATGTATACAGAGTATGTTTGAAATGAGGTAGACGCTGCACAGTGGAAGAGGACTTGCCATGAAAGCACAGTTAGATGGAGAGACAGGCCTGTGGAAGAGACTCTCCGGATTTCTCAGCCCGAGGCTCTGTCATAACACCCGGGGATCAAAGCCTGAAACCAGCCTGCTCTCCCCATCCAAATCCCCTTTCCCTCGGTGACTGGCTGAAAAGAAAAGGCCTTTCATTCAATATTCTCACTGTAGCCAGCCAGTCAGCCAGCCAAGGAAAACAGCACAGGTGGGATGGGAGGAAGGCGGCGAGGCGGAGATAGAGAGGTGGAGCTGTAACGGCTTCTCCATCAGCATCTTTGTTTTTGCATCTGTTTGTCAGGATTTGACGCACTCTGAAAGGAAGCTAGAGGTTTAGCTTTAGGTGCCACACAGACTGTGTGAGCATATATTTGTTTGTCCATCTGTATGCATGCACTCATCCCTGTTATTTACCTTCTTCCCAGGTAGTCGCTCTCCCCTTGTTTGTTCATGACGGTGTGACGCTGTGTGTGTGTGTGTGTGT